GGAAGAGCTAAAAAGAAAAGTATAGGAAATTAAAACTAAAGACTTTAAAAAAATGAATCATTTTAATCATCTATTAGAAGTAGTTATCATTAGTTAAGATTTCGATACTTTTAACAGGAAAATAATAGAAATGGCTTCGATGGAATTTTACTATAGAGGCTTTTAGATGAATTTATGTTCTAAAAATATTTCCTCCACTTGTTTTGAAATTGAAAATTCTAGACAAAAATGGGTAGACTAAACAATCTGTAAATTCAAAAGCATCCTTATTGAATGGAGTTTAAAGATGTTAAGTAGTAAAAGAACTATGGATTAAGACATATCTAAATTGAACCAGAAGAGAGGATATAATTTCATATGATATGTAAGAAAAAAGTTTATGAGAAGTAAGACTATTAAAATTATCATGTAAGAGGTAAGGTTTATCTTTGGATTATCTTTAACATCCATACTACTATTACAAGCATTGTTAAGTGTATTTTCAGAATCAATAGGAGAGTATCTTTTTTTGATATCTTCCTAAAGGAGGCACTGCTGATGAATATTTACAAGGATTGATTGAATTTATTAATCTAAGTATTCCTTTGGATATTTAATTAGAAAGTCAAGGTGATTATTAAAATGAGAGAATATTGTAAAAATTATCATTTTTTAAAAGAATTCAATTACCCATAAGACTTTAAAATATAAATTAAAATTAAAATGAAAGCCTGATGTGGAGGATGATTATATAATTCAATCGATTAGGCTTATTTTAATGTCAATATTATTATTATATTTATAAATGTTTGAAGAACCAATCATGGAATCTATGCTCGATTATAATCAGCAACTAACCCTAGATCAGAAGTTGCAAACCATGAATCTACCCCTTAAAACTCTCTCAGAAGTCAAAGAGAGATACAAATACCAAATTGATTATTCCACATTACAAGAGAGAAAATTCAATCTTAGAAAAACTAGACAGCCTCTCATTATTTTTTCATCTGCTGAAATTGACATAGCTCCCACAAGAACTGAAGTTAGGATTAAATCAGTGATATCTCCTAACATCAATTAAAGTCTCTTACATGTTTCTGCTTAGCCAAAAAATCCTAAAAGTAGAAGTCTAGGCTTCAGAAAAAAGCGCTAATGAATTTTATAACTTAAGAAGTAACATCAACAATACTTCATTGTTGTGATTATACCTCTTTTTTATAATTAATTAATACGTATTTACAATTTGTCCAGTATTACTTAATGCTAACAATTCATTTCTATCTATAAATGAATAATCATTTTCTGCATTCTCAATAAAATCTCACTGTAATTCATAAGGATCTCATAAATACGTGTAAAAATAGCTATATAACTATATAAATATTAAAATCATTTGTAGAACAAAAATTGAATACTTCGACAACTGATATTTGTTTTATTAAAATAAAGAATTAAAGAACGGAATAATAGTTTAATCTTCGTTTGATAATTGATAATTGATGATTATATAATATAATTACTTAAATTGTCTGAGTTTATTTTTTGTAACCATTTATATAAGAGAATATATTTGGTTCCATATGGAAATAGAATTGAATCCTTGACAACTAGGATTTGTGATTTTTCGGACACAAAATCTGAATTTTAGGAGTAAACATAGAAAATGATATAAAAGGTTAGAGTATTTGATTTTTTGTGAGAATCATTAGAGCAGGATGTAGTTTCTTTTTTAATTTTATAGTGCTTAAGATATTACTATTTGAGTTCATGAAGTAGACTTAATTATCATTTTGCCTTATAATAATGATAATACAATTTAATATAAAATATTAAATTTTGATATAGAATAAATAAGTGTGTTAATTGTTAATAAATTTATGAATTTGATTCCAATTATGAGAATAAAAATTATTGAAAAATGTCACTATTACAATTTTTAGTATTAAGTATGGAATAATACATTTATCATTTTAGGAGAAAACCCATTTTAATTCATTTGAAAATTGATAGAAGAATCAGGGATGAACAAAATTATTGGAAGTTTAAAACAAATTATGAATGATTTTAAATTTATTATTATTCAACTAATTAACTAAGATATTTAGATTGGCAAAAAGAAAATAAATAAATTAAAGGTCATCATAATAAATGATTATTTAAATTAACACTCTAATAAAATTTCATAAAATCATTGTACATTTTCCCCTGAAATAATTCCAATTGTTTCTTCTACAGGGATTGATTGTTTTTCCAATATCACATACTTAACACTTTTTAAGACCTTTATTGATATCAAAATTAAGAGCATTAGTAGTACTATAAAAACAAAAAAGAAGATTTAATCATCTAATTTAAGACTTGTGTTTTTTTCAAGACGTGAAAATATATTGCAATATTCAGGTGGATCAGTTTTTAATTTTTCACAAATTTATCCAATCATATCAGGAAAAGTCGAATCCTTAATTTCTTTGTTATCTAAGTACACACTTAGAGAACTCTCATTATATTACTTATTCATTTCTTAAGCAAGTAGGTGATTTTCTAACAATGCTTTATCACCCTCTCCTAAAAAGCTAGCATTAACGCATTCATCAAGTTGGGTTGTATTTTAACTAAGCAAATTTTTCAATATATTTTCTGAACAGAATGTATAATGTGGACTTTCAAAACAATCTTACTAAAAGAAATTGATATAGCTTAAAAATGTTTAAATATCCTTTTCAAATAGGCATTGCTATTTGATAATCTCAGTAAGTAACTATTGGCCATTGGCATAAGTTGAAAATTCTAAGCATTAATACAAAATTGCTTACAACAATATCTTCCACCTCCAAAGCAATGTATTTCAGGTTAAGTAAAATTATGTCTTTATTTGCATGTGTAGCATGGCAGAATGTGATTCCGAATGTTCAAGGTCACTTAATTGAATTAGAAGAGAATTACATCCTTTTTCTTCAAATTATTCATAATGTTATTCCAATCTTCCCAAATAAGCCAAGGATTCCTTATTGTTTATGTCAATTCCAATGGTTAGATTGAGAGTGGCAAAACACCTTCCAATCAATATGGATAAGAATAACATAATTGAATACTAATATAATTATATTTCATCAATTGGTAAATTATTGGCCCAAGGCAAAAAACCACAGAAGTCCACTGATTTCATAATCCTTTTCTTTAGCCAACTATAATATTTCATCAGCCAAAGTCTTTCCCATATTCATTTTGTAAACAATAATGTTCTCATCTGATTCCAATTATTATTTTGGATTGAGATTGACTTCCGAATCCCCATCGATGTCAACAACAATGCTTACTTCATTCTCTGTAGATTTCCAGGGGTCGTTTCTTATGCGCACTCCATTATATTGAAAATGTCTAATCTGTGCTGTATATCCTGTTTCCTCTTTGATTTCTCTGAGACCATTCTCTTCAATGGTACCTTCTTGATCTACTAAGCCTGATGGGAATTCCAGACAAAATTTTCTAATGGGAGGTCTAAAATTGGCAATGAGAATCAGCTGAGATGGTTTTTCTTTGTATTTGATGATGGGTATGATTTCTACACCTCCTCTATGACCTGGAGGTCTTTCAACAAACTCCCATACTTTTTTGTGTCCATTTACTTCAAAATGAAGAAATTTGTAATGCAGCCACTTGCCTTCATAGATTAGTTATTCATCAACCTTAGTATTGAAATCCATAGTTATAAAAATATTACGTATTATGTATTGAAAATAAATGTAGTGATGTAGCAAATCCAGAAATAAATTAAATATCTAAAATGCAAAAGTATCTCCAAAAGGTCCTTACCAATCAATTCACAAGAGCTTCAATTGCCCAATTCGGTCAATAATTAAAGCCACCCGTTAGAGTAGCCATCACAGGTGCTGCTGGTCAAATTGGATATTCTCTAATTTTCAGAGTTGCCAGTGGTGAAATGCTTGGACCAAATTAACCAGTCATCCTCCATTTGATTGATTTACCATTTGCCATGACAGCATTAAATGGTGTCGTAATGGAAATTTAAGATTGTGCTTTTCCATTGGTTTAAGGAATCGTGGCAACTGACAATTAATAAGTAGGATTCAAGGATGTCAATTATGCTCTTTTGGTAGGTGCTAAACCAAGAGGACCAGGAATGGAAAGAGGAGATTTGTTGAAAGACAATGGCAAAATCTTCACAGAAACAGGAAAATACATTAATGTATGAATTTATGATCTATATCACATAGGACCATGCTAGCAGAGACATCAAAGTCGTCGTCGTTGGTAATCCATGCAACACCAATTGTTTGATCTTGGCCAATCAAATCAAAGATATTCCCAAAGAGAATTTCACTGCAATGACAAGATTAGATCACAACAGAGCACAACATTAATTGGCTGATAAATTAGGTGTTCACACATCTGACATCAGAAAAATTGCAATCTTCGGAAATCATTCTCCAACCATGGTTCCATACATTGATTAAATGACCGCAAAAAGTATTACAATATCCTAAGTCTATTAATAGATCACAAAGCCACAGTCGATTAATAATGGGTCACCTAAACATTCATCCCAACTGTTCAATAAAGAGGAGCCGAAATCATCAAAGCCAGAAAACTCTCAAGTGCTGCTTCAGCTGGTAATGCAGCCATGAATCACATCACCACCTGGGTCAATGGAACTGCCGAAGGTACTCATTTTCCTTAAAAACCATTAGGTGATTATACTTCAATGGCCATCCCATCTGATGGAAGCTATGGAGTACCTAAGGGATTGATCTTCTCCTTCCCAGTTACAGTTAAGAATGGCAAATATTCTATTGTCCAAGGATTACCCATTTCACCATTCTATCAAGGCTTATTGGATAAGACCATCAAGGAATTAGTTGACGAAAGAAATGCAGTTGACCATTTGCTTAAATGATATATTATTGAAATTATTTAGTAAAATAAAAAATAATTACCTTTTTCTTAATTATCATTTTTTAAATTATAGATAAAGTTTACAGAATATAAAGATATAAAATCATTGTTGAATTTATTTAAGCATCTTCAACATGGAATCTTCTTCATCTACTTTTGTTGATTTAATTCTGTAATGGAATCTTGAGCGTAGATTAGAGCTTTTTGTTCCTAAAAAAACGATTGAAGCTTTGGAAATGTTGATCATCTTCAATGTTATATGGCTTAGAATAATCATTATCATCCTCAAAAACTATTTATTTTTTTGGAAAATATTTTTTGAATAACTTTTTACTCGATGATGCATGACTAATAGCTGCTTTAATGACTTCCTCATTTTATATTGGCTATCTATATCCTGGGAATCCTCTTATGTATTATCTAATTATACCCATATCTAGCCTTGTATAATTACAGAAATTATCCAACAGAGGGCTTTCTCTCTTCAATCACTAGTTTCTTCAATCTCAGGTCTTAGTTATTATCCCATATTTCAAACTCCTCATCAACACTTACCTAACTTTCAGTGACAGAAACAAGTGACTGTCTACAATTGATACTACTCTATTTTTGTAAAACTTGTCTTGGTTAAATTTAGATAACACTTTTTTAAAATTAGCCCAACTGCTTAATCACTCTATTTGTCAACGACTTGCAAGTCAAACTCATTTATAAAGATCTGTATTGATTCGAATTTTATTAGTTTGATTTTATTGATTTGATACGGAAGTTTTATGAACTTTTCATTAATTTATATATTTTTTAATATTAGCATATATAAAAGTACTCACATTTTAAGCCAATACAATTGCACTCTCAATCTCTCTATAAATGCTGCATCTAGTTTTTTCTCATATTGTTCCAACAATTTTATTTCCTTATCAAAGGACTGCAATTCTTTTAATGGATCCCTCTTGCATAATCTTTGTTTTATTGGCTCTCGAGATATTTGTCCCAAAAATGAGTTGCTCCTTGGATATCTGCATGTCCCTTCAGTATTTAATCTATGCGAAGACCTATTCTCCTTGTAACTCTTTATGCTCGGTAACATTTACTGTTAATTAATTATTATATATGCCTAATTTTAAACACAGACGAAAATTAAAATCTATGATTAATCTTCCCTTCAGTAAGACAAACTAACTTAGACCTAAAATAACTTCGTAATCATTATCTTACAACTATTGGAACCTTCAACAACTATCTAATGTCCCTTTGATTTTCAGTCAAAAACTTAAATTATGTATTTCTTATTGAATATTATTATCTAAAACAGATATTCATATAATTATTTACATTTTACATGCATTTCCATACACTTTACAAACTCAACTAAGAATTTAACAACTAATTTAGAAACATTTCACTAAAAGTTGTAATTTTATAAATGGGCATATAACAATAAACTAAATTGTAAATTACCATATGATTTCTATTGTTAAATTTAACAGTTAAGCTATAGGCACATTTTCTCTTTGAATCTGAAGGTGATCAAACAAAAACCATTTTTTAGGAATGTATATTCACTAAAGAAATTATTTTTTTGAATCACCCTTTTACACGAGTAATAAATACAGATAAATCAAAAATTATAGATAGTTACTCAGAATTTTAGATTATCAATCATATATAAGAAAATCAAAGTCCATATTGATCTGAATCGAATTTCTGCATGACATCCCTTATTAATTTAGGCTCTAGTTTAGTTGGAATTTAAGCTTTTGGAGTTGATGGTGTATGATTATCTAGATTTGACTCAGAATCCAATTTTTATTATGGGATCTTTTAATTTGTTAGCCATCTTTCATAGTATTCATTTTTTTTCTTTCCTTTCTACATCTACTGAATAGTATTTGTATCTGCTGACGTTTATCTCTTTCGATTTTATACAGCTTTCTTGTGAAATCTGTTATTCTAAATCCCCAGATTATCATTCATAATTGATTATTATTTTTAATAAACTAAATATATTAAGAATTACAAATCTTTGAAATTATTTGAAAATAGAGAATGCAAAGTATTATCTAAAATTTTTAAATTAAATCTTGTAATACATATTTAAAGTTAAGATATTAAAATTAATAAGAACACCATAAATTCAATTCATTCTCTCATAGAATAAAGATAAAACCGGATTTAAAGAATATCTACTCTGTATCTTAACTATTAATTTAATGATATTAGTTTAAGTTTTTACAAAAAACTAATATACTTATATATATTATTAAGTTATGTTACTTCTTGGTTTAATAAGTTAAATGATTGTACTTAAACAATTACAAGATTACACAAGTGATTTTTGATCAAATTATTTTCAGATTATGATTTGAAGCTTTTAAGAATCCTATCTGAACAGCAGTTGATAATTTTGATACAACGCATGATACATTAGATTTTTTTGGGTTCTAGATGATTATTTATTATGGAGTTGATTTCATCAATTTGAATATAACTAATTTTGAATCCTATTCTAACTATCCATGCATATAGTTATCATTATTTGGATTTTCTTGTCCTCTTCCAATTTCAAATATGAAATTATAAATATTTCATCTATCCTTGAAGATTAAATCTGTGTTGACAAATCAGTCATACTTAAATTCTCTAGATTATTACGCCACTCTAATTAGTATCATAAACTAATCATTTTTGTTTGATTAGGAATTTTAATTATTTCTGATAACAATTGATATAAAAATTAGTTTAAATGCAAAATAATATTAATAAAAATGGAATAGGAAGTAGGAAAGGTTTGTTTAGTAGAAGTGCCAATAGAAAAATCATTTCTATTTTAGGATTAGATCACCATAGACAAAAATCTTAATACATTGAGAGAAGGATTATCTTATAGATTTATTCAATCATTTATGAATCCCCAATAAAAGTTATTGATTGTGTGTCCACCAACATATGCTCTTAAAGAATTAGATGCTAAAGCAAATAATAAAACTCTTTTTGATGGGAAAGGCTATATCAAAGCGCTTCCAAAGGGTGAGCATCCATATCTTGTCGGATAATAATCAGGCATGAGAAGTGCCATCATTAATTAGAATGGAAAAAATTATAGACTAAAAGGTTGTGGAAATGGGACTGATGGTTTTACCTTGAGAAAATTTGAAGGGGACATAGAAAATGCAGTTGAAATAAGAGGATGTTGTTTTGATCATACAGTCAAAAGAGAGCTGTTTATGAATAGAAAGATTGAATAAATATTAAAAAAATACAACATAGAAACTGGTAATATTAGTATTGGCTATTGGTAATATGGAGATGTTGAATCTATCAATGAAAATTTAGAGAAGAACTTATAAAATTAAATGTCTTTAGTTCCAAAATATTGTGGAATCTATGAGACAATTGGGGATTTCAGACTTGGAACACATTTACTTCAAGGTCTTAGAATTATTACGAGTTCATGTGTTACTGATTGGAGTGTCGATGATATTAGACGATTAGTTACGGTTTAATCAAGGATTGTAGAGAATAGAAAGTCACCAAATGGGAATCCATGGGATCTTAACAATACTTAATTTAGAGAGAGACCATAAGGTACAATATTTTAGGAGGATGATTATCAAAATAATAGAGTATTTGATTGGGAAAAAGAAAAGGATAATGTAAGTATCACAGAAAATTTAAATGGAAACTCAAAGCTATAAAATATTAGTATACTTTATTAAAGAATTGGATACGAAATAGGAAAAATAAAAAGAATATTTATTGACAATGAAATTAGTTGGGGATATTTCAGGGATCATAGCAAATTTTATTATCATAGCAATGCTCATTTAGATAATTTTGTTGTAATATAAAATGGATCTAGTTTACTAGCCCCAGTAGATTTTGATCTTGCTTTCTGGTATTTATTGTGATTTATTTTTAGTAAGGAAGAGTTCATTAACATTGACATTGATTTTGATGCTTAGCTTATTAAATCTTCAGAAACTTAAGAAAATAAGAATTATGGTAAATTTGATTTGGAATAATGGTTATTTTATTAAGATCAAGAAAGAATTGGTTTAGAATTAGCAATAGGAGGGATGGATATGATTTTAGCAAGTCATATGTTTTTATCAAAATAAAAAACAGATGTTGAAGACTATATTGAGATACTTTTAAGAGATTAAATGAGGATTGGATATTTAGAGGGAATGCAATTAAAGGACGATTCCAGTATATTTTATTAAAGAATGGATAAAATACAAGATATCATTAAGGAAGCCTTAAATTTGACCCAAGAAATTGTTTCTTGAATCATAATATAATTTATTATTATTAATTTAACACACTTTTTTTTAATGTCTATCATTTCATTTGGCTAGTTTCTACAATATTAGAAATTTTTATCATCTTAATTTGAAGTTTCTTGGTTTTTAATAACTCCTTTGACATTAAATTCATGCTCTACTTACATTTAATTAGTATTAGTTTTGTATTTTTTATCTAATAAAAACCTCCCTTTTGATAATTAAATAGCAAAATAATTGCGTGGTTGTTTCAGATATTAGTAATTGAATTAAAGTTTAGAACTACGAAGTTGGATAATTAGTAAATAATAAATTTGATTATTGCTAGAGTATTTTTCTATTCATGTGTTCATATTTATGGATATTTATATGTAAATAACAATTATTCTTTATAAATATCAAATTANGATTTCAGACTTGGAACACATTTACTTCAAGGTCTTAGAATTATTACGAGTTCATGTGTTACTGATTGGAGTGTCGATGATATTAGACGATTAGTTACGGTTTAATCAAGGATTGTAGAGAATAGAAAGTCACCAAATGGGAATCCATGGGATCTTAACAATACTTAATTTAGAGAGAGACCATAAGGTACAATATTTTAGGAGGATGATTATCAAAATAATAGAGTATTTGATTGGGAAAAAGAAAAGGATAATGTAAGTATCACAGAAAATTTAAATGGAAACTCAAAGCTATAAAATATTAGTATACTTTATTAAAGAATTGGATACGAAATAGGAAAAATAAAAAGAATATTTATTGACAATGAAATTAGTTGGGGATATTTCAGGGATCATAGCAAATTTTATTATCATAGCAATGCTCATTTAGATAATTTTGTTGTAATATAAAATGGATCTAGTTTACTAGCCCCAGTAGATTTTGATCTTGCTTTCTGGTATTTATTGTGATTTATTTTTAGTAAGGAAGAGTTCATTAACATTGACATTGATTTTGATGCTTAGCTTATTAAATCTTCAGAAACTTAAGAAAATAAGAATTATGGTAAATTTGATTTGGAATAATGGTTATTTTATTAAGATCAAGAAAGAATTGGTTTAGAATTAGCAATAGGAGGGATGGATATGATTTTAGCAAGTCATATGTTTTTATCAAAATAAAAAACAGATGTTGAAGACTATATTGAGATACTTTTAAGAGATTAAATGAGGATTGGATATTTAGAGGGAATGCAATTAAAGGACGATTCCAGTATATTTTATTAAAGAATGGATAAAATACAAGATATCATTAAGGAAGCCTTAAATTTGACCCAAGAAATTGTTTCTTGAATCATAATATAATTTATTATTATTAATTTAACACACTTTTTTTTAATGTCTATCATTTCATTTGGCTAGTTTCTACAATATTAGAAATTTTTATCATCTTAATTTGAAGTTTCTTGGTTTTTAATAACTCCTTTGACATTAAATTCATGCTCTACTTACATTTAATTAGTATTAGTTTTGTATTTTTTATCTAATAAAAACCTCCCTTTTGATAATTAAATAGCAAAATAATTGCGTGGTTGTTTCAGATATTAGTAATTGAATTAAAGTTTAGAACTACGAAGTTGGATAATTAGTAAATAATAAATTTGATTATTGCTAGAGTATTTTTCTATTCATGTGTTCATATTTATGGATATTTATATGTAAATAACAATTATTCTTTATAAATATCAAATTATTATTATTCCCATAAAAAAAACTCAAATTTTCTATAAAAATTTTTCATAAGCATATTTGAACTTAATCTCCTTCTTCTTCGCTTATGTAGCTTCTTTTTCTAATTTATTTATAGTGTATAATTAATCAAAGGGCAGTGATATCATTCCTGAAGCTATGTATATAGGCTACATTTATATGAGAAAATCTTTTCCCTTAGTTAATTTTTTTTAATAAACTAAAATCTAAATAAGTTGTAAAATACCTGTATTGTAAATTTTAGTAGCAATTGGAAAATAGCGTTAAAGCGCGTATATATTTTTGGCCATACTTGTTAATGCGTAATATTTATCATGAATATCAAGTTATTCAAATTCAGTAGTATTAAAAATTTGATTGTTTGCCCATAGGAGTAATACTTTAGATTATCCTTCTTGATAATTCTCCCATTATTATTATAATTTTGCTATTAATTCATTGTCAAATTAATCAATATACTAAATAAAATAGATTCTACATTTTTCAGCATTCTAATCTTTAAGTTTAAGACTTTTAATTCCTTCTAATATAGATCCTTTGTCTTAAATAATTGCTTTTTCCTTTTCATTTAAATAACAACAAAATATTGACCAAGCTCTTGTCAATGTATCTTCATCGGTTTTAAATGCCTGAGTCAAGTATCTTAAAATTACTGATAATTTTCTCAGCAGTGTCAAATGTTTACTGTGATTTTCTAAATAATTGGAAATGATAAAAAAAGAATGATCAACACATTCGCATCCTGTCCATCTAATTCTGAAAGGAAACTTCTTAACCCCAATACCAATATCATCACCAAATGTCCATGCAGGCTTCTTCAATTTCCTTTTAGCTTTTTCTCTATTTTATATTACCTATTCTATTTCTGTTCTCATTTGACCTTGATAGCATTATTCAATTATGACATTGATTTTTGTTTTCAAGCAATATTTCTCATTATTTACCAATTTTTGCACTCCATATTTTTTATATAGCTTCATTCCTTATTCATCTGAATTAATTGCCATTTATTCACATTCATTTTTAAGTACATCTACTTCTTAATTATACTTGATTATCTTTATGTTGATTATTTTTATGAAATTGATATTGAATTTTAATAGACTTATATTATGTTTAGATGTTTGAGACTTTACCTTAAATTTGGCTGTGATGCTAGTAATTTTATCCAAAACAACCTTAAACTGCTCAATAATGTTTGGAATCACTCTTTTAATTGCTTCAAGTCCTTTGAAATAATTGTTTAGAACTTCCCCAAACCACTGCAATTTGAAATCGCCACTTAAGCCCAAATTATAGTTGAATTACTTCCCTACCAATTGATTTTATTAATAGTACTATCATTTTCAAATTTAAAATATACTCCATTTTAGCATCCCTACCCCAGGTTACAAATAGAAACATACTTAGCCCAAAAACAAAATGCATCCATCAAGTTCTAATCAGCTGTTAGAGACACCTAATAACATATTATTCCAAAATTTTACTTTAGTTAAGCGTAATAAAATGAGTCTATTTCCTTCAACTACTTTATATAGTTTTTAGACTTCGTTTACTAAATTGTTTGCAACCAAGAACAATTGAGTTAACTCGATTGATTAGGTTCCTACATTAAGCTATTGAAAATCATTGAATGCCAAAGGGACTGTCTCAATTGACGTAGAGCAACCCATATTTTATAATTATTATTACTCACTAAATTATAAAATGAACTAATATACATCATTGAAATCATTTTTACACTAAAATATTCAGATCAAATCATTAAGAATGATCTGGCTATTATAATTTCTAAAAATAGACTAGTTATTAAATTTATACTATAAATAAGTAATGAGTCTGCTAATTCAAGTCAAATTTGTAATCGGTAATATATTTGAATTAAATTTAAAACAAAAATAATTAAACAGTGCAAGCATTTATTTTTATAAACATATGTATAATATTGTATAAGAATGGTGAAATTGCGATAGATATTTTAAATAAAATGTAACTACCATGGATATTAAATTTAAAATATTTATTAAAAGTTATTCTATGATAATATTTAAAAACCTGAAATCTTTTAAAATTCAACTTGAAATACTAAATAATAAATTTAAAACATTCGAAGATCTTTTTATAGACTTAACAATTGATAGATACCTATTGACTTAGAGGGATAAAAATATTTAGAAATCATTTTACTCATAATTAATTGATTTATGCTACTTAATAAAAAATATTCTGACTAAAAACCATCAGAAAGTCTATGAAAAATAAAGACTATCTAAAGTAAGAGTTTTTGTATTGATTATATTAAATAACTAAAGTATTTGATAATTAAGATAATCTATAAAAACTATAAAACATAAGGTAATCATATTTATTGTTTATTTCTTTGAGCAGATATTTATTTTTGAGTTTCAGCAAAGTTCTTAATTTTCTTGACTTTTTCGACAGCTTTTTCCTTTTTGATTTTCTTTTTCTAAATTTCTTAATATTCTTTGTTATATTTGTTTTATTATTCGACTTGTTTCGGTTGATATCTATATCCTGCTTTAGGCTTTTTGACATCAAAATCAACTTAGACTTGCCTTCCGTGAACCTTTTTTCCATTCATTTATAAGGCCTTAATCACTGATTAATGATCTTCGAAATCTATATAAGCAAAGCCTTTAAAATTCTTGGTTACAGTGTTGTACACCATTCTAACATTTGCTACTTTACCACAAGGTCTAAAGGAGTCTCCGATTTAATCGGCGTTCAGATCATAGGAGAGATTTTTGACGAAGATTGTGAGACAATCAGGAGGAGGAACATTTGGTTTTTGAGGCTGAGTTCCTTTGGCCTCTTTGACATCGATATATCTGCCGCCTAATTGAGTACCATTAAGTGCTAAGGCTTTTTAAATAGCTTCGGAATCACTAAATGTGATATGACCATATCCTAGAAGTCTGTTTGAATCCTAATATCTGGGCAATTTAATGGAACTAGTTTAGATAAATATGAATTACAGGATCTCTCCGCAGTCTTCAAAAAGAGATTAAACATCATTTTCTGAAGCAGTATATGGCAAACCACTAATAAAGACTTAATACATTAATATTAATATTGATGTTATTCAACATAGTTTCTGGAGAGTCCGAGAAATTATATGAAAAAGAGAACCCAACTTATGATGAGGTAATTCGATTCATAAGGGAGCAAATGAACATAGTCAGCCCGTTATTAACATATATTGATGATGATGGGAAATCCTATTATGTGAATTGTACTAATGACATAAATGAGATAAAAAAGAAGTTGTCAATAATTAAGAAAGTGAATTTGTACATAACCTTGTAAACTTGGACTTGTGCATTTTGTACATACGAAGAGAATACAGAGGAGAAATGTGAAGTTTGTGGACAAATGAAAAAATGAATTCACTCAATTACATATAAACTAATTTAATCTCTTCTTCTTGAACCATTCATCGAAAAACTATTCCTTTCGAATATCATTTTCAAATCCATAATGATAATTTTTAAACGTGAAATCAACAACATCTTAATGCAATTTCAATTTCTGTAATACATCACAAAACACAAGCCAACTCAACCCATAAAACACTTGTTTTTCTAATTTGTAATATGGGAACTATTAATATTAAAATCCCTTCATCACTATATCCGATAAGTATTGTTATCTCTCAACAGTACGAGCAAATACATGCACTGATTTGTTTTTGTACTTTTTAATACCCATATTCTCTAAACTTATCTAGTTCAAAGGCAATCTCATCACTCTATCAACTTCATTCTCGTTCGGAATAAATTCCACTTGTCCATCCAATTAAAAGATGTGAGCTGCTATCTTTAGATGCTTGTTCTTTATATAATATGCTTCATAATTCTAGTCCATTCTTCCCAAATGATGACTTTCGTTTAGATTCACTCCTATCTCCTCCTGAGTCTCTCTTATTGCAGCCTACAATGTGTTCTCATCCTTTTCCACTTTGCCACCAGGAAATGCGATCTAACCTGAATGAGGATCTCTGGCATTTACTTTGCGTCTGATCAGCAGTATTTCATTGTTATTCACGATTACTGCCACTGCAGTTTGAATTATTTGAGGGTTGTACAGAATGGTTGAATTTGAAAGAGTTTAGCGCAAAAACTACATTAATTATTAACGATGAAACAAATTACGATCAATTTCTCAGAACTCACTGATGATGCCAAAAAAAAATATATTACTTTTCTAGCTGAAAGCGACATCAGTGTAGAAAAGCAATCAATTAAGAAACCTACTATGCCGCAATAGCATCGAGCCAGACAATACAGTGCTAATTCTGATATTGCAAGTTTTAAGTCATATACTCCAACAAGTAAATTGCCTTTGAATCTCTAAATTAGAGTCTAAAACTTACATCTAATCACATGTCAAGACGGAGCATTCAATTAGTACTAAATTCGATGATCTGATTGATGCATATCCCACCATCATGAATTAAATATCCAATTAAGATTTACTCTCAAGGCCACTCAAACTAAATTTGAATGACCTTTGTCTTATTGTAGAAGAAATATACTAAAGAAAATTCATTGATGACACAAATTAATTAACTAAATACTAAACTGTGTGCGATATATCCTTTGCAGATTATGTCTATAATTTCTTAATCCAGAAATTCAAGCATTCAAAAAATCAAGTAATAAACGTGCTTATCCATTAGTAAATCATCAATTTCCTTGCATCAGTCGATCTGCATTCCCTTAGAAAAAAAGACGTAAGCCTCTTTCAATCATTCTTAAGATATTAGAGACAAGAAGTTTTGACCTTCTATTTATATACAAGAGCTGTGATCTAAAAAGAACTTAAGCTATCTTTTTATCATCGTATTATTTATATGCTAATTTCTAATAGCACTCCGCAAACAATGCATTGATAATGAGTAGTTGTAATTAAATTAAAAATAAGTGTAACAAATCTCACAACTTCTGTATAACAGTGAAGATAGGTACTAGGAATTCAAAAAGTATTTTAAGGGTAATTATATTTCGGTGAGTGATTTTTTTTCTGCAGCTCTGCATATTTATGAAATACAGCATTAAACACACAAATAAAAGCCGTTCTAATCATAAATCAAATACATACCTCCACTACAATTCACAAATACTACTAATAATTTTGATGAGTATTAAGTGGATTCTCCATTATTTGCATAATCTGAAGTAGCCACAGATTAGAACCAACAACAAGAGAAGTACTTTACATCGACTGGGCCAAGTCAATAGAATAGTAATTAGAAAGAATAGGAGTAAGAGTTAGAAGTCTATTTCAAATTTAAGAAAAACAACGAAAACTTTAATTTAGTTTAATAAAGCATAAATGAGAAATTGGAAGTCAAATTAACAAGATTTATTTAAGACTTACTTGAAGAAATGGGGGAGTTAGATTTTGAATAGAAAACATAGAAGTTAGAGGAATTGCAGAACAGTATAGATGGAATTATGAATACTCTTTTGGATGCTATATACAAATATGACAAGCTATTATGGTACTCTTAATGATTGTTATGAAGGTTCAAAAGATTGAACAAACAACCAGATGATATAGGGTTAGAATATATTGAAAATCTTCAAAAAGTGTACAGGAGTTTAAGCAAAACCAAATAACCTTAAAATGAAGATCTTGATAAATTCTGTTGCTCATTAATGCAAGTATGTAATGTAATAAACAAAGACACCAGAGTTGGCTAAGTAGATCGAAAGTGAATTGCCTTGGTTGGGATAATGATACTAAATAATTAAATATAATATAAAAATATGAGTATTATGAATTGGGGCAATCCATATGATTGGACAGCAGTAGAGTGGTAAAGTGCCACATGGGGAGAAAGATTTATGTATATCGATCCTTACTTTTGGAGGTAGATGTGAATGATTATATATCTAGTTATTTTGGGGTGGCATTGGCATTAGCAACATCAATTATCGGAGCATCATGGGGTATATTTGTGACAGGCGTGTCCTTGTTGGGTTCGACTGTGAAAGCACCACGAATTAGATCGAAGAATTTGATTTCAGTCATTTTTTGTGAGGCTGTGGCCATCTATGGAGTGATTATGGCAATCATCATGATTGGTAAAGTGCAAACCATTGAGTCATACCCTGAGAATCAAATGGCATAGTGTTATACAACAGCTTTGTTCGGTGGGTATTCCCTCTTTTGGACTGGTGTATCTGTTGGATTGTCGAATCTGATTTGTGGGTATTAAAATAATGTTATCCACTTTAGTATTGCAGTGGGTGTGACAGGTTCAGGATGTGCCATTGCTGATGCTTAGACTCCAGAAACCTTTGTGAAAATTCTAGTGGTTGAAATCTTTGGGTCTGCACTAGGTTTGTTTGGTGTGATTGTTGGTATTATCCAATGTTCAGGAGCCTCCTTCCTCAAGGATTGTCTTTGAATTTTCACATTAAAACATATATATATAATATGGATAATAGTTTCAATTCTGATTGCATCAAGTCTAATCTCGATCAATTAACCCCATTAGCAATCATCATAAATAATACTAATTTAATTTTGTTGCAAAATTAATTCACATACATAGTATAATGATCTATTATCATACCCTAAAATAAACTTAAGCAAACCAATTCTACAATTGTAATATACAAAATTTGTGATGGCCAGCATCAATATCAATACTGTTAATATCGAACAACAGGGTTTCTGTCTATGCTGCAAATAACTAACTGCCAATGGAACTATCCTATAAATTTAGAATTTTAATGATTCTCTCTACACTCAACTTTAAGAAAACAGTTGGCGTAAATCAGGCCAATTATTCTACCATTCCAATCCCAAAAGTTGTTGCCAACAAATCGTCTGCAAAGTCCCTATTTGCCAATACACTTCCCCTAAACGGTGTTTAAAAGCTTTGAGGTAATAGATTTTAATTACTCTAGTAAGTTGACTTCAGAATATTTCGATGTCGAACCAATTAAATAATCTATATTTAGCAATTTATTATAATACGTCGATATGTCCCGTCCTACTCGAGACACCTTATAAACTAAGTAGGCCTTCCAACACTATTTACTAGCTTTGGCATAACGATTGAATTATACATCCATAACCAAATGTGGATTTAAAGAACATGCGCATGATGAACTCAACAAACAAGTTTAATCATTAAACAACCAGTTGCATATGGATGTCAAAGTTGATAAAAAAAATCATTTACATTTTAAATGGCCCAGTGGCTTTGTAGCTTTGTTAAGAAAAACAAAAAGAAGTAGTTTGAATGTGATTACAAAACAAGCCACTTATGATGAAGAAGCACATCATTTATTCAATGAAAACTATGTTCAGTTTTCAAAGTAAAGTTACGAAAAAATGTTCTGTGATTCCCAATCTCAAATGATCAAATATTATGCTAATTCTCAACTGGCAGCTGTCAGCTTCGTTGAATTCAGATCGAACTCATTCCATAGATTGAGTTTTCATTACACACAACAAATCAAAGAAATTAATAGAATTGCTATAGATTATGAAATTAAATGGGCACAATAATTAAACTTAACTAACTATTATTATGTCAAAAAAAGCAGGATTCCAACAAATTAGGACCTAGCGATCAATCAAACTATTGATGAGAATTTTCCTATATTCAGAGGATCTAAAGTGATTTAGATCAAATAACTAAGATCTGTTTATTAGAAGTATCTTATTGAACTACTTACTAAAATGAACTCAATTATGGGTCCATAATTATTTAAAGTTTTTATATTTAAATATGAATGATTATAAAAAGATAACATTTCAAGATTATTAACTTATTCTATTTTTAGTATTTATTAATTTTTATTGTTATTTACTCTATATGATAAACTATATATTTAGATCTCTTTACTACACATTTTATAAGTATATGTAATTACAGTGTGTAACTTTAGACTATGTAACTAAGAATCGAATTGCATATCCTGAAACTTTCAATTTATTTACTCCAACTGATTTTTACCTTCATGTTGTTAGACTGTGATTTAATAACATGAAGAGTTGACTTACATTCACATATATATATTGTGTATTGATTTTAATGATTTTGAATATCAAAATAAAGAATTAATATTATAATCAATATATTTGTTAATATTATCTTGCATCTTGTATTGATATTCAGTTTGCATTAGATAACCATCATAAATTGTACACCTAAGAATATATTAACAATAAAGGGAAGTTTTTTAAAAATGAAATTATGTGAGTGGTTTTTTGTTAAATATAGTTATTTCATTGATAAATGTTTATTGTAAGTCAAATTAATAGAATAAATTCTTTTTTTTATGTGAATATTAGCGATTGAATATTTTTGTTATTCTCAGTGATATAGGTTAACTAATTTGATTAGGTTGGATGGGTAAGTGGGTTTATACAGTCAGTCTCGTGGATATTCTGTCAATTTTCTGAAGATTATAGTAAAATGAGTAAGAGAATTAGATAATTTATGTGTTAATGAGTTCTTATTTAGTTTAATTTTAAATATGAGTGAAACAAAGGTATGTTAATGCTGGTATGTAATTGACTTATATTTGAGCTTGGAAGAGGTTTTGGCTACTAATTATTTGCTTCATTCCCTCTATTGCGAGCGCAACATTATAAAATGCGAAATCTGTGATCAAAGAATAGATTTGAATGAGAAGAATACTCATATGGAGTCACACTAGAAAGTATGATTGAGTAGATGATTAGACTGAATGCTCTTATTGTTCATAAATGTTTGAAAAGAGTCTATTGGAGATGCATAAGAAGAATTGTCCCAATAAGCCAGAGAAGTGTGGATTTTGCGATTTGATGATAAATCTGAGTGAGATGCCAAGACATTAAGCAAAGTGTGGTTCTAGAACGGAATAATGTTAAATTTGCAAAAAACATATACAAAAAAGAGGTAATCATAAAACTTGACTTTGTAGAGTTCAACTTGCATGCAAGTGTTTGTGGAGAAGGAGATGAAAAGGAAACTTCAAAGCGAAATCGATTAAAAAGGATTACAATTGAGTCTGGATCTGATGGATCAGTATAGGAAGTAAAGCAGGTACCAAAGAGAAAACCACAGAAATAGATTAAATAACAATCGAAATAAAAGGAGTAAATATTGACAGAATATAATGACGATGACGATTAGGATTTCTAAAAGGCTTTGTAAATGAGTCTGAATTAAAAATGAATTAATAAAACTCAAGTTTGTGTATACGTTTTAGAGCAATAAGAGAACATCGGCATTTATCTCATCCCATTCATCGAACTCCAAAAGCATAATAATGGCGAAGTTCCAGCATACCCAGATTCTTTTCTTTCTCTTCAGTGAAACAATTTCCAAAATTGCCTGAAAGAATGAGAAGAAAAAGCTGTCATTGCAATCACTGTGGTAATCTGACTACATTACAATACCGAAACATGAGTGTTCCCTTCGTCAAAAAGGTTTCACGTCTCAGAAAACAACCATCCATGAACAACAATCGATTGCTGACAGCCCAAAATACAAGTAAGATTAGTATTAATTAGAAAAACTATTCAGAAAATATTCAGCTTCCAGACAAGACACTCTAACCTGTCCCTCTTCTTCTTAATTATTACTAACTACACTTCGTAGAGCTTCTGCTAGAAGTACTGAGAAATTGATTGAGGATACCTAAATCCGTATCTTTGAACCACCTAAATCTTGTAGAAGCCATCTCTTGTCCAATCCTCAATCAGAAGAAATTAAAAGCATAACACTTCAAATTCCCAAGTCTCAAAGAATCATCAAAACACAACCTCAAGATAATCAGAACATTAAACTACTTCACACCAGAAGCATGCCCAGGATCTATACAAGAAACTTTCTTAATACTTACTTAACTAAATATAAGAAAAAGAAAACCATTTTGCATTTATAAAAAAATTGACCAATTTTATAAATTTATTTATGAATTTTAGAAATCGCATCTTTAAAATCAAGATCTCATCAATTATTACTCCATAATTGTAAATATTTCAAATTATTCAAGAGTTGAGAAAGTTGCTGACTCATTAGATAAATGGACCATTTACAAACCTGAATGCATTGCTCTTATCATTAATTCTCTAGGTGGATCTCTTATTCAAACTTAAAATCTAGCTATCCTCATTAAAAAGTATAGTCAAACCAATAAGTACGAATAATTCTATCTTAGAATCCCAATCTACTGCTTTGGAGAGGATATTGTAATCAAAAGTGCTTTAGGATTATTGACTATTGGTGATAAGGCTTATGTGAGTTAATAAAATTAAAATTATAGATCCCTATGCTATTGTTGGGAATATGGGATATGCACAGCCTTTTTTTGATTTAAGAAAACTAGCCTCAAATTGGCATATTAATTAGAAACACATTGCCACAAACGAGAATATGAAACTTTTAAATCCATTGACTGAATTATCCGAAAAAAATAAAGAATGGGTAGAACAATAGATGAAGAACCAAGAAGCTGAACTAATCAATATGATTGAAATAAACAGGAAATTAGATAAATCTACATTTGACGATAGGGTAAAAGAAGTTTATCATAATGGAATCGTATAACCAAATGTATTATTAAAACACGGCATAATTGACGGTTATATAGGCTTTGATACAATGATATAAGGAAAGAAAGTTCGTAAATTAATGTGATCAAATTATTATGAGTAATAATTAAAAAATCATGTTTATATATCATAAGTATTCATCTAATATAATTGATTCTCTATATTATAAAATATATATAATAAAAATGTTATGTTTATAGATATAGCAATTCTAATAAACAATAAGTAGTATAAATATGATAGGGTTTACATTGTTATAATTCCAGGTAAATGAAAAAATAAAAAGAGCAAACTTTGTATTTTTTCATTGGAAAATAAACAAAATTCAATTAATTTTTATTTCATCCTATAAAGTCAATTTCAAGTATAATGAAATATTTCAAACATTTTCCAAAGTTTTAAAAATAGCAAAGAGATTTAATCAGTTAAATCTTAAATATAAAAACAAAAGATTTGCATATAGTAGTTTCAAATAAAAGATATCAATCCTTTTTGTTTATTATAAAACTATCTTAATTTTACTTACTGCTATTTCTTAAAATAGATTAATTAATTTTCACTCTGCACTTACATTTAGATTTAATTTAAAGAAAAAGCTTAACTACTAGTAAAATTGAAAAATAGTGAATAGATTATCAGATTAATCTCATATTTATTCATTAATTATATAACTAAGTCATTTTTTTGATTTGAGAACCTTCTCATAAGTCGTTTAAGTTTCCTTTTTGAGAAACGGCATAGATTTTTTTCGAGATGCTTTAACAGTGGGACTTGAAAATTAGGATATGGGTCTAATAATACTTTATAAATATAGCGATATATGCGTACCTTATGTCAGCATTGAATATTTATTGACCTAAATCAAGGGCTTGGCTCTTGGATGCTTTAACTCTATTGGCTGCATTTCTATTGGAGGAGACACAATTTTCCTTATTTTCATGGTCGATACTAAAATCAAAATTGATGGGTGTAGGTTCAATGGAAATGTTAAAGTTATGATAGCCTAGCTTTTTTTGAGTAGTTTTCTTGCGACATTCTTCACAAACTAATTTGAGCTTCTCATCAATTAGTTTATTAACGAGTTTCTTGAGAGCCAATTGATCCATTAACGTAATTATTAATTAAAAAAATTAATTATAACAATCGCATGAGCCACAGCTCTATGGAATAAAGGGTATATGAGATTAAAGTAATTGTAGAATGGACAATTGTTGGTGATGACAATCTAAATAGACGATAAGCGAAGTGGAAGAATAGATGTATTCGAGGGAGATGATCCTGAAATACTGGCACGAGATTTTTGCATTAAATATAGCCTAAATTAAAGAGTGGCACCATTACTCATAGATAACATACAAAAGCAAATCTCAATAGCTCAAAAAGAACGCATGAATATGGTTCAATATGTAAGTAGTTGGAGTCTAACTTTATTTAGTTATCTCAAAAGAAGTAGAACCAAAGAGCAACTGAGTAATCTAGTGAAATGCAAACTTAGCAATAAGGCTCTTCTCCGATTATTGCCTAATCTCAATAGTCTCCAATGAAACAAGAAAGCATAAGCTAAACTGTATATGACAGACTATATCAAGACGCTCATAATAAGAAGCTGAAAAGACAATTGCAATTATCAGAAAATAAGTCTAGCAGTTAGATTATGAAATCTCAAGAGTCGGAAGTGAATTATGGATTGATACTCTATTAAAAGGGAATTCAAAAAAAAGAAGAGAAATTGCAAAAGGCTGAAAGTGCAAGAAAAGATTTACAAAAGTCTTAACTTGTTGAATGTACTCACAAGCCTCAAATTAACTCTCTTTCCTCTAAAATAGCCTAGCGTTCTCCCAAACCGGTTGGAGAACATTTAAATGAATTAGCAAAGGTAATATAGGAGAAAAGAGAGAATGCTTAAAATTATAAGTTGGAAATGGAATAACAAAGTTGCTCCTTTCACCCTTAAATTAATCGAGTGTAATTCTATTCCAATTATATTTAAGTTCCTCCTCAATAGTTGATGAGAAAAAGAAATAATCCTAAATTGCAATTCCTCATTACGAATCGTTGTATCAAGATATGGATGTGAAACAACAAAAAATAAATGAATTAGACAGAAATTATTTTGCTTAGAAGCATACATTTCATCCTAAAATAGATTAAATCTCTGAACAATTAGTTTAAGGTCTAAGTTTTGAAGAAAGAAGATAAAAGTTTAGAAATAAATCCAAAGAAAGGAACTCTAGTGCTGATGAGAGCAATATGTTTAGACCCAGAACAGGTAGACCACCTGAGTAAAGGCCAGAAAATTTGTTTGATAATCTTTATAAGGATGCATAATTATTAGCCTAAAAAAGGGCAGCAATAGAAACTTTTAGTAAGGAGAAGATGATGACTTAATCGAAAGTGAGAGCAAGTTAAAAATCAGAATTCTTAACACAGTAAGCTGTGATTAATTCTCTTTCTAACATTTTCGATTAGATTGACAATGATAATGATGGTGAAATTGATGCAATCAGAATAAATTTAGGAAATCTAAATTCGACTGTTATTCAAATACTCTAACCATTAATTTCTGAAATGGAGGAAGGTAGACATGTTCTTACAAAGAGTGAATTCATTGAATCAGCTATGAGGTTAGTTTACACTCTTTCCAACAAGGAGAAACATGATTTATTGAAAAAGCCTAGTGCTAAAAAGTCCAATGTTCCAACTTATACTTTTCATGTGTAACATTTTCATTAATTTTTAGCCATCAATCAATTAAAGATCATAAAAAAATTCTGGATCCAAAAACAGATGAATGCTCGCATTGTCTTATTTATTTGAGATTATTTAATTATATATAATATAATTTTCCAATAGCTTTTCGAGATGTGCAGACGATCTTATCAATTTATCAACTTAATTAAACTAAGTAATAAAATAGTACAAAAGATATCTCTTTATTATTTATTAATAATAATAATAATTAATAAATAAAGTTTCCAAGCAAACGTATTAGTTGATGTCATGGCTGTTAAAAATAGAAAATTCTTCACTTGTTTATGCTCAAAATGGGGAATGAGATCAGTTAATTTTGTAACCTTTCAATTTGAACTATAACATATTGAGAAGTATCCAATTGTTGATTATTTCAATAAATATTTTAATTAAAATTTTGAAAGCGACATGAATTCCCTCAATATAGAGAACAATAAATTTATGAAGAGAGCAATTTAACGAAAATCCTAAAGAGAAATTAGTTTAACTCCAACAATCGTACTTTCAAACAAAGAAATTGAAATAGATGACTTCGATTCTCCAACTACCTTAAATTTATAAATACCAATCTTTAGTCCGACAAAAATGATATATTCTTTGCCTAAATCTGCTGGCACAATCAAATGATTTATCTCCTACATATCTTATATTATTCATTCAAATTTATAGAAAGATAGCCTCTATTTTATTATGTGTAACTTTGGAATTAACCGCTGATCCTTAGTCAATGAAAGAATTTTGAATTAATAAATTATAATAGAAATTAGCATAGAATTCAGTCTAAATTATGGATGAATAGAAGATATATTCATTCAAAGAAATATAAATCATATTATCTTAATTAATAATAAACAAATAATTTGTAAAAGCGAACTTCATAAAAAAACAAATTATATTTTTTGCTATTATAGTGAATTATAAAAACAAAGTACATTAATAGAGTCAATTTTGAAGGATTCAATTCATTATCTTTGACAATTTGATTAATTCAATATAAACCAAAGTTTCTTTTTCAAGTGGGATCTTAAGGTTGTTCTCCAATTCATTCTAAATCCCTTGAGTTAAAAATCTGGCTATTTGTTGCTCTTAAAATGATAACTGAATATTAATGTAAATACATACTTAATGATTCATAATAGATTATTTATATTATTATTCTTTCGAAATCGCCACCAACTCTGCTAAAAGACTAGCAATTTATTCAAAAGCTTATCTATTTTGTTTTGCTTACAATTCCAATCTTTTAATATGAGTCTGATATTTTTGAAAGGAAGGAATATTGTACCCTTTTGCATTGGGTCTAATCATTTTTAAATTGTCTTTTATTTGTTGTTCATAATAAGCATTAATTTTTGAGATGCGATTTTGATGTTTGAATAAGATTGGCATCGTAGAAATATAGTCCTTCAATAATAATTAGATGCCGTATTTGAAAACTATGAATAGTCCTTCCAGATCATTTTGAAGTTATAATTTTTCTGCCAAATCAATCCAATATGACAAAGCTTCCTGTCTCTTATATTTACAAGGGCTTTTGACAACTGAGTAAATGATATATTATGAGAAGGTGTTAATTCTTTTGAAATACTATATTAAAATATAATTTTACATATTTAAGACCTCCCCTAACAACTACATTTTTAATTTGCAAATCAGCATAAAAGGTTTAATTAATGATGCTTAATATTTTGGCTACTTCTTCTGGATGCCAAGGAAATATTTCGTTTTCTTTAAGCAGAGGAAGAGGTTTAGAATTTTAGCTCATTCCTACTCCTAAGTATGGTTTGGATTGTTGGTCATCTACAAATTTAGATTTGGAAATAGTTGATATGGTTTATTCTATGAATGCAATTAAGATTTTATCATTCTTCAACTCATTGGAGCGATATTGAAAGACGAGATTGAAAAATATGGGGATTGAATTCTAACATGAAACATAGTTTGTCATATCCATCTGGTTTTCGTTTTGGATCCATTTCCATATGAGATACAAAGAAAAAGTGAATAGGTTTGTAAAGTAATCTACAGTTAATACTATGCTTAATTTGATTTTTTAATCTTCATTTTGAATTTCTTTTTCTATTAATGAATTGAAAGCACAGTCTTTGAAAAATGTATCCAAGGCAACACATTTTGATGTGAAATGTTCCAACCAATCTTCTTAGGATTTAAAGACAAAAGTGAAGGATTGTTTAGCAGCTTCAGATAAGATGTCCAAATCTAAAATTTAAGTGTCTTTTAGTACCTAAACATTTTGAATAATTATGTTGCATACATTCATCTGGCAGAGTTCGAGAGGATTGTAAACTAGATGAAGAGCAAGCAGAATTGCATTAATGTTCTCGTCTCATGTCCATAAAAGAGTCAGTGCCATCTGAAAATTGTGAATAAAAGCTAGCAGGTATTCTCTAGGTTTAAACATCATAGGTCTTTGCTTTTATAATTTCACTCTCTTCATTGTCGGGGCAAAAGAATAGTGAATTTTATTCCTACATTATTTCTTATTTGAGATGAATTTTATTAATAAAAATTAAATAAAGTTTCCACTTCATTTACAATACCTTAATATTGCAATGAATTTTATGAATTACTAAATAAAATCATATCCAACTGATAAAAACCTATTGGAAAGATGAGAATAACAAATTAACATTTCTATAAATAATAAGAATCAAAATTTGACTTTCTTTCTACACATATCGATCTGCTTGGAATAGATTTCAGTTTTATCGCTAACACTGTCGTCATTTCGAATTTGATTTTAAATTATTTCATCTTTGTGTCTGATAATATCTTGCAATTTCGCAATCTCCTAATAGCATTTCTGTATCTCGCTTTGCATACTCTAATTGTAATGCTTCGGCTTATTAGGCTTTTTAATGTTACTCTTTAAAAGTTCATTCTCCTATCGTAAAAGCTTCACTTGGGTTTCTGCAATCTCCAACTAATTTTTGATGCTTTCAACTTACTTTTCAAGAGTCTACATTTCATTTATGGTTTCTCTACAATGATCACAATGTTCCATTAATTAAAAATTTATATATAAATATTATTAAATATAATAAAAAGGGATCCCCCAAACTCATAATAATAATAGGAGAGACAGACTCTAAATACAAATGGTTACTGTATAAATATAATTGCATTGAAAAATATCTTATTTATCTCTTGTTTCTAACATTCTAATTGAATAGATTAAACATTCATTAAATTTAAGTTTAAATAATCCCTCCCAATTAATGCAATTAAGAAGTGGCGTACTCAAGAAGCCCCCAAACAGAAGTTATATTTCAGGCTACCAAATATTCTACGCAGAAAAATTACCTGAATTGAGAAAAGAAGGCAAATTCTAAATTGGAGATGCAGGTCACAAGATCTCAGAAATGTGGAGAGAATTAGAGGATGACGAGAGGTAGAAGTATGAGAATGAGTTCAATGAGATGGAATCCAAATACAAAGAAGACTTAATATTGTATTACGGAGGAGATCTACATGACATCAAAAAATATAAGTCATTAATGGAAATTCCAGAAAAACCAAGAAAACCTGCTTCTGCCTGTTTAGTTTATATTGCAGAACATAGAAAGGAATATTCCAATCAAAATCCTGATATGAATATGGCTCAAGTGACAAAGGCTTTGGCTGACAAATATGGTGGACTTCCAAATAAGGATAAAAAAAGATATGAAGATGATTTTCAAAAGAAGTTGGAATAATACCACAAGGATATCGAAATATGGTAGAAGTATGCATGATGTTTAAATATTACTATAGATAATTTGCTTAAAAATCAGAAGAATTTGAAAAATTAATCGAAGAAAAATTCAAGCGATCAGCCTCAAAATAAGATTTGGAATATCAAGAACTACCACCCTATAAGAGGGGTCCAAGGAAGATGAAGGAGGAGGATGAGACTGCGCCAGAGAAATCGGAGGATAAAAAGGATGACAAAGCCAAGTATAGCATATTAATTAATTCTAATGAAGCAAAAAAAGTAGTAAAAATAACAAGGATGAAGGCAAGGGTGCATAGAATAAAGGAGACTCGAAGAAATATCTAGAGGTAGATCAAAAGAACGATCACAACAGAAGAAAATCAGCACAAAGAAAATAGTGAAATTACCATAATATTATTTTCCAAAATTTTCTGTTAAAATATATAAAAGCATAAGAGAGATTTCTAAAAATGGATTCATGGAGGATATCAAATATTGTAATTTAGATGTTATATATAAATATTCATATCATACAGAGGCCTTGTAGACAGCTTTTGGTAAGAAGTTCAATAATTTCAATTTCTTATTCTTCTGGTAATGATGGCAATCTTTCAAATTGGAATGCAATTAGATTATGTAAGTTCAAATGATTGTTTTTGATAATACTTGTTGCAATTAATGGTCTAAATTAGTATTTGATCACTTGAGTGGCTGCTTTTGCAATAAATTTACAAAACATATAATAATATTTTAATTTGATAATCATTCGATTTATAATAGCATATCCTCCACTTATTATTTTTTTTAATAAAATTCCAATCCATTTCCTTTGATTAATTAGAAATCAATCCCCACAGTGGAATCAGTCGGTCCTTAGACTAATTAGATGGCCATTTCAAATTCTTCATTATTTTATAAATACCAGTAATGAATCTAATATAACAATTGTGTAGATACTTTAAATTTTTGATTATCTACAAAATTAATCTTGTTGGCAAATTTGTCCTTGTTTTCAATAAGCTTAACAAATATCAGAATAGGTTCAAATGGAAGTATTACATCTGTCTATTTAAATCTTTTTAATTCACGTTTTAGTGTTACATCAATAGTTAAGTCTTCCTCTCCTCTATTAAAATTTCCAATTCCAACAGTCACTAGATTAGAGTTGGATCACATACATTGTTAATTTTGGTCTGCTGCCTATAATTTTTATTTGTCTAGCATTTTCTATAAGTTTTCTTTATTTTGTTAGGATTGAATTTTTAATTTACGTGCATTAAGTAATTTGATCACAAGATCATTACTGATGGTGGTTCCTTGGTACCAAGTAGTGCTGATGATTTCAGAAATAGTCGGTCTCTATAAGGGATCAAAGGCAAGCATGGAATTAATGAGAGTCTTGAGTTCATTTGAAAACCTTGGTATTCCAGACTTCTCCTTGTAGGCCCAAAATTGATCAAACCGATTAGTACAAATTAGATTATACAATTAATCTTTAATATTAGCTTACTTGAATGGCAATTGTGCAGTAACCATTAGAAATAAAATAACACCAGCTGCAAATAAATCAACACATTATCCTACATACTTTTGTCTAACTAATATTTCCGGAGCCATATAACTGATAGTGCCCTTAAAAGAGGCTAGGACTCCATGTCCAAAATTGCCTCCAACAAATGTTGCAAATCCTAAATCAGATACCTTCAATTAGCCATCTTAAAATAGAATGTTTTCAGGTTTTAGATCTCTATGAGCTAGACCTTAACCATGTAAATATTGCAACACATCAATAAGTTGATGGAAGAAGGTTCTAGCAGTTTCTTCCTTGAATGGCCCAGTCTATGATAGTTATTCATACAATTCTCCATCTTTCATATAATCATAAACCAAACAAGATTTAATCTCCTTCTAACCATTTCTTTTAGTGTATTCCTCATTCACATGAAAATTTAATAACTTTATCAAATTTTTATGATTTAACCCCCTATGTATTTAAATTTCCTTTTCAATATCCTTTGAAAATTAAACAAATTTTAATGCTACTTCTTTATCTCCATCTAAACCTAATTTGACTCTACAGAATAGAATAATTAATTACTTTCCTTGCCCTCCTTTCCCAATAGTTTATTTGACTATGTAGTGAGCATATTGAGCATAAGATTTTTCTAATTCCATTTATAATTTATAAAAGAAATTATTTATTAAATCAATATAAAACTAGCAGGTATATTTTATTTTTAATTGTATAATGATACAAAAATAAATAATTTATCAGAAATACTTCTTTTGATGTCGCAATTACTTATAATTAAAGATAATCAAATAATCATTACAAATAGACTGGCTATTGAATAGTTAAATACATCTATATCATAATTCCCAAATGAAGATATTACTTCTAAAATAATAGAGTAAAATATATGAGCCATAAGCTATTAGCTTATTAATTATCATATCAATAAGATAAGGATTATGAAACCAATTTCTTAATTAATAATAAAATGTATCATAATAATTCAAAATTTTACAGGATTTTTCTTACTTTGAATAGCCTCAAATTTCTCTTTTATTCTCAATCTATCTTGCCCACTCAATTCCTCTAATCCTGTCAATTCAATATCAGTAACTCCCCATAAGTTGGCTTTAGTGAAACATTTCTCGTGATACCATTGGATGTTTGTATAACCTCCTAAAATAAACTAATTTAAAGTACCTCCCTTCTTCACGTAATACCCTATCCTTATAGTATTTTCAGCAATCTTCTCATAACAATTCCTACAGCAAGACCTATTGCTTGGAGAATAAGTGACTTGTATTAATGGCATAATTATTAAATAATTATTCTATGAGAAATAAGAACCTTTAAATCTAAAAATATTAAATTGATAAATAATTTTAAAGAGGATAATCTCAAATCTTTATATACCACTCAATAATCAGTTGTTTTTCTTCTATGTATCTGTTGTAGATGTCCTCTCCTTCAACCATTAAGGAGCAATGAACTAAAATAATAATTCCATAATCCTACCTTAATCAATACCCAATTGTATAACCAAGAAGGCACCAATTTATATAATTCAGCTTAGATCTCATGATTCCAATGTCCATTTGTATTCTAACCCATTCTCTTCAATAGTCCATCCGCACAATCTGAAGAGGTGATGGTCATCAAATCTGGTTTCCTATTAAAAGTCATATTAGTTGAGACCTCAGATGGTCTTAAAGCAAAGACTTCCAATTCAGGATATTCAACACTCAATGTTTATGTCAAGAATTCCCCATAGGACTTACTTGCACTATATACATTGAAATAGGGAGTTGGGATCTATCCTGCCAGAGATGTCACATTTACTATTGCAGATTTATGTGATCTCCTTCTTAACAGCTATGGAATAAACCTTTTACATAACATTGTCACTGGCAGACAATTCACTATTATGGTTTTGTAGATTTCTTCATCCGATATCAAATGAAAACGATTAAAAGCATCTACACCAACATTGTTTATGACTATGCTCACGTCTCTCTCACCTACCTCATCCATTATTTTATCAAACAATTTATTGTCCATAGATTAAGAAAAATCGGCAACTATGATGTGTGATTCAGTTTGTAATTATTGTGCCACTGCCTCTAATTTCGAACGTGTTCTAGCAACCAAGATGATTTTGAATCCCTTCTACGAAAATTTGATGGCCAACTATTTTCCTATTCCATCTGAGGCCCCTGTTATGAATACCCAAGAGCCATTCCCGTATTTTTTAAGGTTAGTGCTTGGCCTTATCAATTTCCATAAAAACCAGAGCATCCTTGTGCATTTGAGCAAGCCGATTATACCCAATATATAAAGTAGAGTTTAGAATTTTGGATAAGCCTTAATAAATTCCGAAAACATAAATAATTATATCAATTTTTAATAATTTAGCTGTTAAAAAGTGCCAATGGATTTATTGCATATTCATCATCGCTTAACACTATTGCATAACAAGCTCATCTCTGCATTAGAAGAAGACACCTTCTTGGGAACATCCCATTTTGGTTCCCTAGAAAACTCAGAAATAGTTATTAACAGAACTAAAAGCAAAAAAAATCGGAATAAAAATAAAAGGTGAATGTATGAAAACATATATCTATTTTTAATTTATATATTTACTTTGCTTTGACTCTATGATCATAATATATCAATAATAAAGCTTAACTAAATAATTGAATACAAATTGTGTTAAGTAACACATTATCTGTTGAGAAGATGTGGAAAATTTGAATCAAGATTACAAGAATCATGGAGTAATTAGAATTAGAGTATAATAACCATAATGATCTAAGTAAAAAATTGTCAATTTTGAGGTAAAATAAATTTAATAAATATTAAAGAAAGTTTAAACTACTTAATAGTATGATTAAAAAATAGGAGAACCATAAGTAGGAGCAGTCAAATTAAATAAAATCATTATTAAATTAGATTCTCCAGTTTAATTCTATTTTCTCATTTAGCAATTTAGATTACATTTAATATATTTGATGGTCTATGAGTCTTCTAGACTTATAATTTTTAGCCTTCATCTTTAGTTTATCCAAAAGTCTAATTCTACTGATACTTATGACTCTGACGACACAAATGAGATCATTGTGTTACAATTATCATTTAATTAATCTTAAAATTCATTTCTTTTATTATATGTTATCAGAAACTAGTAAGGAAGTTTAAAAGGATTAAAATGTCGTACCACAATTAAATCAAACTCCAAGTAGCACATATTTTGTTTACAATTGTTACATTCCAGTAGTGTAAGATTACATGAGTCAGCCTCCTGCTCTATAGGTTAGGAACTCAAGTATGAAAAAGAATTAATAATTAAGGCGAATCCTTCCCTCAGTTAATAAAAAACAATGATAGTATTCAGTTGTCTCATTTGGCTCCTGGAGTTTCGATTCCAAGTTTTCAATTTGGGGCGTCTGCTCCATTTGTTTCTCCGGATGAAGTTATGAGAAATGTGTAGCCTGCATAGAATCATTTTGCATCGTTTATCTTGAATGAGTAATTGAAGACACAGAATCAACCGACCAAAAATAGAATAATTGAAGGGACTCAAACCCTCTGTGACATAGAGATCGTATTAATATCGCGATATTTTGACATGAAGGCTCATGTAATGTAATTAATATTACAGGAAGGTATTTTGTCCTCCAAATAACAAGTACGCTCTTAAGGAAGACACCAATATTTCAAATGCTGAATGGTTGAAGGATCGAATGTTATTTCGCTATAAAAAACCTGTACAATATTGTATTTTATAAATTAGATCAAGGAGTCATTTTCAGATATGATTGAATAATTGGAGAAGGAAGGAGAACTCAATTTTAAGAACATGATTCATCCAGTAAAATTTGCTTAAGGCGGATTCGATAACATAGAGAGACAAGTGCCCAAATCGGTGAAGAGTGAGAAGCCATTTGCAGTTTTTATATTTGAGATACAACAATTAATTTCCTAGTTCTTGTTCACTAAGTATTGAAATTTATAAAAAATATACTAAATTTTATATGTGTCATTAAATTGAAGATCTGCATGTTGGACAAGTAGTATGTAACAACACCCATTTTATGAGACATTCCTTATGGAAAATGTGAGAAGGATGACATTGCAGTCCTACTAATTATTGATCTTAGAGTAATTTCTCTCTGCAAATTATGCAGTCCCCATTCTCCTCAAAAGTGACTGACTTTTCAGGAGATAATTGCAATTTCCGAATCAATTCTCGATGGTTCCTCTCTTCTAATTGTTGTTGTTCCATTTACAAGTACCTACTCAATGCGTTATAATAAGGATTAGGGGCGATGTCATTTAAGTCATAGAATCTCATGTCAAATCTGGACTCATATGATTCCAGATGATCCAAAGAAACTCTGTTCGAATACTTTTTTACTGCATAATAAATGTATATCAGTAGAGACATCACAAAACAGATAGTATCATTAACAAGATAAACTTCAATTTTGTAAATTGATTCCTGTATGTATTTGAAGTAGTTTTTGAGATTGAACATTAAACAAACTATTACACAAGCAATTGACGATAAATAGATGATGGCTTTAAAAGTCTTATTCAAACATGATTCATAGAAAAAGAGCTTGTAATACAACATGTATGCATTTTAAAAGCAACTTAAATGGCGTTAGTTCACCTTCCTTATCATTTTGAGTAGAATCAAGTGATAGAGTTGCTTAAGTATCATGGTTCCACAATAGATGATGTATAGATAGATCACTAAAACGGTCTCACTCTCTGATTAATCAATAAAACTAGCAATCACTGCTAATTTTATTTTATAATACATCAGTAAAATTATGGTCATTTTCAGTGTGTTCCTTTTTGTCTCAATGAATCCTAAGACTATCTAATGGAATTACTTGGCAAGTTGATGTATTGGTATCCTGCTTTGGTCTTTAAGATTGAACATTCACAATTCCCTGGACTTTGACGGAAGCAAGAATGTATGCAGGCAATCAAATACAGAACCATATGCAATATATAAGATATTATTAACAATGGATATATCTTGCTGTTGGTATGCAAAATGAATAGGAATTGGCTGAACCAAAAACTCCAAATGAAGGAACTGTACATCAAGACGTTTATCAAATCGAATTTCTCCTGAAATTTAAACTCCTCCAAGAATTCATATACATTCTTTTCATAAGTAAGACACAACAATTTCAAATTCTCCTTTGGGACATTCAGAATTTCTGAGTTCGCGTTTTTTAAATCCAAATAAATTGCCAAATACAATATCAAAGTGAGCAAATGCGAAAACCATTTACATAATTCGATGCCCACCATTTTTGGATCAACTAAACAACTCAAACTAGTTATGGTTGTCAGAAGCAGTAAAATTGAAGATGCTATTAGCAAATACTTAATTTTTAATTAAGATGCTTTTATCAATTTGACGTAATGTTCCTTTAAGTCTTCAATTGATCCATAACGATTCGTGTTAACATGTTATTAGTATTAACTCAACATCCTTTATTCCTCATATGAGCACTCTTACTCCGAATTCATTTAATATAATTAAAATTTTTCATAATGATCATAATCATTATTCGAAATATTCTCTTTAAACTCTCCTCATCTAAATTCTGAGAAATTTTCTCAAAATTCCACTCAAATTCAGTTTTCTTAAAACTTTCCTTCCTTTCTGCATACATCAATTAAATATGAAAGCTTTCTTCATCTACATTACTCATATATTTTTTAACTCTAATTAACTTAATGACAATTTTCAGATTATTCTGATACCGTCATTAGTTCTTACATTTCTTATTGATTACCGACCATATTACATTGGTATTTTAATTATTATCAGCCTATTATGAGAAGGTGATTATTTATAAGTTCCACATATATATGAGTGTTAATCAAGAAATTAATTGTGATATTTTGATTCGCTTTCAAATATTGAATTAAACTTTTAATTAAATGATATTTCATAAAACACTATCAATATATGATGATGTTTCATCAAAATAAATTATAATTTAATGTTTATAAGATAATTTTAGTGAATATTTAAAATTCATAATAACTTACCTTCTTAATCCAAATCAATGTTCTTCTTTTAATTTAGATTTAATTTTGAAAATATATTTACTCCAGTCTTTAATATTAATTAAGTGACAATAATATATTAATTATTTGTTAGACTACTCGATTGTAATGTCATAATACGTCGATTGTTGTATATGAAATAAGTGTAAGAAATGATATATATTTAGATTTGATTGTAATTCGAGCGTATAATTATACTATACTGTGGATTGGATTTAGAAATAATACTTGTTATTTGATGAATCACTTATAATCATTTAGGGAAGTCTTTTTAATAGATTCCTCTTGATTATTCAATTTCTTTGATATTGTTGACATTGTAGTAAATATTCATGATGTTGTGATATTATCCAAAGTCTAAGCCGAATCTAGTCTAGGCAGAATCAACCTGACAATAGATCAGGATGTCAGCTAATGTCAACTAGTCCCCGACACTGAATCTACCTCTTGTTCTTGAAATACTCTTTTCTAGATTGCTGATTCCCAGCATGTTCCAGTGGGTCCATTGATCTTTCCATTCCAATTATTTCTCTGAGTGCGAATTAATGTATTGTTATATGCCCAAATGTTGGAAGGGTTGGATTGATGAATTGATATATTCCGCGATAGCTCTGTAAATTATATACTAAAAATAAATACCTAACTTGGGCCCTTTGAATCTTGTTTTTAGGCAAGATTGGTTTTTCAGGATGCACCTCCTCCAAGTATTCCGCTATGGCTACACTCTCTATCAAAGAGTGACCCTCTGGAGTGACCAAAGCTGGGATTATTTGACGAGGGTGTATTTTTTTGTACTCTTCAGACAATTGTTCTTTCTTCACGAAGTTGACTGAAACTTGGGTGTAGGGAATCTTCTTATAGTTGAGAATGCTCCTTATACGCTAGGTACAGGAGGACATGGCAAATCCATATAATGTATAAGACATAAATTAATTAATGAGTTTATCTGATCTATTAGTGGATTATGGTGGGAGTGGCAATTCCTAATTTGGTAAGTGTCTGTATAATCTCCTTAGATGACCATGTAAAAAAGCAATTTACTGGGCCAGCCAAATTTGCCACAAAAATTGATCCGCTCCAAGGTGTAGATAATACAATAAAACCACCTTCTTTGAACAGTTTTCATAAGGAAACGGATAACATTCATCCATCGCCAAACTCGGGGATGATTCAGTTTTCGCCCAAAACCTCTATAAACGAAGAAAAAAATTTGATGAATCCTCAAAATAAGGAATAACTCAAAGAAATTGTTCAGACCAATATGATCAACCAATAGAAAGAAGGCATCAATAATTTTATCAAACTCGTATTGGCCAAAAGCTACTTCAACCGTTTTGTTGAAAATATGCTATAAAAATCTTATGTTAAAAAATTGTCCCATTTCAACCTCTATCAAAATACAATGATGGATGATCTTAGATATATTGATTCCAAACACAAGATTCACAAGAATTTGATTGGCAAAATATGCAAGAAACTTAGGTTTTTGCCAATCTTAGATCAAAGCAGCTACTTGGTCATAGGGTGGTAATTGTTGCACATTTTGACCATAATCATAGTATTTTTCTGGACTCCCTTCAACATCTCCTTTGGAATCACATTTGATTAGGTTGTATTTGGAACATTGACAGTGAGAGAAGTTGAATACTATTTTTTATTTTCCATTGTCGTTGACGGATTCATAGTCATAAACACTTCATATATAGAAAAAGGAATCATCATCAAACAGAGAGGCAAAATATTTATAAATTATGTTAATACACAAGCGATTTACGATTTAGTAAATGATATCTTATAAACAAGTGTTCATTCGCATCAATGTTAGTTGCTCAACAATTTAATGTGGACAGCTCTAATGAGAAAATTGGTTGGCAATTGATTCCATATACAATTTACTATTGCAGTCGACAGTTCAAATTACAAGCCAGAGTGCACAAATTAGAAGAGTAATGTTTTAAATAATGTTATATATAGGTTTTTCAACTTTTCAGGTTGGGTACAAGATCTTATTGAATTAATCAAACTCTTATTTATGGTGGTTTATGTCGGTCATCTCTTTGCTTGTTTGTGGCATGGAGTGGCTTTCTATTAAATAGGAATTAGAAAAACTTGGCTTGAAGCTTACGATGTTGCCAGTTCCGACGTATTTACAAAATACAATTATGCATTTTACTGGTCTGTCCAAACCATGATTACAGTAGGATATGGAGATCTTACACCTCAGAATAATTATGAAAGATTATGTGCCAATTTGAGTATGTTTTTAGCCTGTGGTGTATTTGCCTTTTCATTCAATAGTATTGGTCTTATGTTAAGCAATCTAAATTCAAGATAAGTGCTCTATAAACGTAGTACCAATCTACTGAATTCCTACTTGACTAAAAACCAAATTAAAGTTGAGTTGCAATCCAGAATTAGGAATTATTACGACTACATTTTTCAAGAAGAGCAGGAAATTAACGATGAGGAAGTCTCGCAAATAACAACCAAGTTATCTAGTTCTCTTTAAGAAGAACTAAATTTTGAAATACGATTTAATGTAATGAAGACCAACAAAGTATTAACCAAGTTCTCTTAGAAAACATTGAGACAACTGTCTTTGGTCATTGAAGAAGTAAGGTATTCCCCTGAGGATTAAATCTTACTGCAAGGCACTCAAGATGACTGTTCTCTCTATATAATCACAAAAGGAACAATATCTGTCTTATTCCAAGATGAACCTCAAGGTCGGAACACAAGGGTTCTTTCTTACTTAGAGAAAGGGGACTCTTTTGGCGAATACTCATTTTTTACAGGACTCAATCGATGTGCCTCTGCAAAAAGCATAGGCTTTTCAAGAGCATACAAAATCCCTAGATAATCTGTATTAACTGTTTTATAAACCAATTAAATTGATTTAGTATATAATATTCGATATAAATTATAGGAACGCTTTTGTGAAGTGAGAGATTCCATATTGTTAGGAGAAAACTATCAACCTGCGAAATTAAGTTGCTATTCTTGCAAAAAGTTTAATCATTTGATTAAGGATTGTCCAGTTCTACATTATGTGCCTGACAAAGAGAGAGTGATTAAAAAGGAGAACTATCCCTTCCAATAGGACAGAATCGTAGTTTACAAGAGGAAAAGATCTGATCGCAATTATTATGCAACACTTTTGGAGATGAAAAAAACCAATGCGTATGTCAGAGACTTTCAAACAAGAGAAAATTAAGCTGACAATATTACAGTTATCGATGAGGAATTAGATGTTTCTTATGAGGATAATGATGGGTCACCCAATGAATAAGAATATAGTAAGACATGATCATTCTATCAATTAGCCTCTCTCTCCAAAAGTTACTCCAAAGTTTCAAGACAGCACTCATAAAATAGATCCTATTCTCAATATGAAAATAATAACAACAAAAATCTACAACCCATTTAAGAAAGTGATGACTCCATTGATAGTCCCAGTCCTAATAAAAGGAGAAATATGCAAGTCAAATAAACACTATAAACTGCTGGATTTGGAGCTCAAGATTCCTTCTAAAACAAAATACGAAACGATGATTTCGATCCAAATTTTTCTAGTTTTGGAAATGCTACTCCTTCCATCAAAGATGAAAATAGATACACTATTAAAAATGATTCACTAGTTTTGCCAAATCAAATTGATGTCCCAGGAAGAGTGACCAAGAAAAGAATCACCTTAGTTAGAAAATAAAAAAGGGAAGAGTCCTATAAGCCATTTTCATCCTAAACGAAAGTGGATGTTAATTAGGAGAGGGAAAAATCTTAAACCAGAAAGTCTAAAATCAAGGATCCTTTTGTTGATATCCCTGGCACACCTTCTATTCAGTCTGTAGACCACAAAAGGGACTCAGTTGACAGGATTAATGATCATAGGGATTAAAAGAGGAAAAGCACTAAAACTAAGACCAACAGAAGTAGAACTGCTAAAACTCATAAAACAACCAAATTGGTTCCTGAAACTCCCACATAAGAGATTTCAATTCCTGTTTTCGAAAGATAGCCTGTGTCTATGGAATTGGAAGATTTTGAAGTATTAAAGAATTTTTCAAATTATTTCAGTTGGAATAATGCGAAAGTTGTTGTTGCACGAACAATGAGGGTTTTATTGAAGAATCTTGAAAAAAGGAGATATTATGTTAATTAATTTTCATTTTATACCTTCAACTCATTGGCAATTACTAAGATTTCAAGAATCAAACGAAAACTTAAACTAATGTAATTGATATCTACAATATTTTAGAGACGATCCACCTCAAGAAGAGAAAAGAGATAAGAAAAATATTCATCCATTTAATAAGACTATCAAAGGCAGAAGAGAAAGTAAAAGAAGCACCTAAACGGATGATATCGCTGGGTTGTTTTAGAAGAAACCATAATTTGGAACTCAAGTCTAATTACTCTAAGGAATTTCTTTTTCCAGATTTAGTCGAATTGAATCTGACTTGAGATGAATAAAGTTATGTTCTCTAATTTTAATTAACCATAATCTTATCCAATTTAATAATTTAATAGGAATGTGTTGTTTCATCATATTCCATTGTTAATGAAAAATACTTTAATTTTTTTATATTAAAAAATTTCGGATTAATACTAATGGAAGACGTATGAACATCTTTAACTCCATAGGACTTACATTTTAAGATTTAGATGTAGGAGATGCCATCTGCTCCATCCAAACCATTAATTCAAACATCAACTGACGAACCAACTAAACTGTCTGTAGCTTCAACTTCAGAATCGATTCCTCTTTAAACATCAAACTATGATTTGAATCATGCATCACATCCAAAAGCCTGCATTTTTACATTTTTATTCAAAGCACTTGCATTAATATTTTATCTCATATTTGGTGATAGCATTTGGTCATTCATTTTGGTGATAATCTTTTCAGCATTTGATTTTTGGACAGTCAAGAATATAACTGGAAGGTATTAGATTTACACCTAAAATGTAGATTGTTGGTTGGATTAAAGTGGGAGAATATAATTTTAGAAGACGGATCTTCAAAATGGGAATTCTACTCTATGCCAAACAAATAGGTGAATGCAGTGGATAAGACCTTCTTTTGGACAGCCCAATTGGGATTTACTTTGGCTTGGGCAATATTTACGTTTTCCAACATGATCTCATTTACATTGATGAAAGTATTTCTGCTTTGCAATTAAATTAGTTTGTAATAGACGTAATCGGATTGTCATTATGTTGGACAAATTTGTTTGGTTACTATAAATGTAATGGAGATCATAAAAAGAAAATGAAAGATTTGTAAGGTGACATTACAAGCAAAGTAGTTACTTAATTTGTTGGCTAAATGATGTCGAAATGAAACCATTATATGTATAATTATAATTAATATTGTTCTGAAGAAGTCAATCCCTATTATTCTGATCTTTTGTAATTTCATTTATAATGTGATTTAAGATGATAGTTTATCATATGAAAGAAAGATTATTCTTATGAAGAAGTAAACCATTTATGAAGTACACATAAAAATCACTCATTTTTTACTTTTTTTTCAATGAAATCGCTTAAATCGCTGTCATCCTCATCGTCACCATCAGACTCTTCTTCCTCATTGCTATCATCTGAACAAAGTGCAGATTCTTCATCTTCTTAACTCACTTCCTCTTATTCCATATTTATTTGAGTTTCAACTTCAAGTTGTTTCTTTTCTTATTTGGGCTCAACATATATCTATCCATATTTATCCTTTTCATCTAAGAGTCTCAACTTCGGCAATATTTCAAAAGCGTATTTTCGAATATCTGAATCCTTGTAAATCACAAATAAATGAATACTGGTTTGTTTATACCGTTCATAATGTTGAGAGTCTCTAATTTGGCCAAAGGTTTCAGAGCGTCTAAGTCTGTCAGTTCCCGTAAAAAATTCCCTCCTGCAATTAATACTTCAAGATTGGGGAATGCCTTGGCAATTTATTATAATGTCTTTGAAGTTGTAAAGTTGTCTAAATACTCAAGTTGAGTGACAGAGCACATTTATTACAAATTTTCAAGAGATCTGATACCACATTAATTTAAACTAAGAATCTCCAGATTGGTACATTTATGAAGTTCGGAAACAAAATCCTCTGGGAGTTTGTTGAGTTGGAGGTTGTTGAATCTTAGTTGCTTAATTTCTGAATACGGTGATGTTCCAATTTATTTTTTCAACTTTTACTACCAGCTCATTTAGTTATTAATAATATGGGAAAATTTATTTTTGGTCATATTTATGTATATTGAAAATTTCAAAATTTGCCTTAGTTTGAAATCAAACTAAGAATTTCATCTCCACATGTTTCATCATATCTTTGTTCTTATTTTATGGCTGCTAATGCCTAAATAAGTTGAGTAATTTGATGCTCAGTGAGATTGAGTTCTTGGATTTACTCATCACTCATCTGCATAAGCTTCTTCTCTTATATTTTGAAACCTTAGAGAATTTTATAGATATACTCTCCCTAGAATTTATGTAAATAATTACTTCCTGTAACTTCAAAATTTCTTCATAGAGTTTTTTCGAATAAGTAAGATAAGAATTAGTTTGTACATTGTTTTGTATTTTCATAGTGTAATTGCTACCCATTAACTGCTTTTGGTCTGGAGTAACAGGAGCAGTGCGAGGCTTTTTTTGAGATTAATATTGTTATTAACTATTGAGTTTCTTCTTTTGTGTTTTGGAACCATCTGAAAAATCAGAACCTCTTCTAGATTGAGAATCAGAAGTTTTAGTGTTTGTGACTGACTATTAACAAAAGGGTTATCCGATTTCCATCTTCCCTCTGTTCAAGTAATCCTAAGGAATATAATTGGGTATTATAGGTCCTGAATAATTTGAGGTGTTCTTGTATGGCTGTCTTTTCGCTTCTACATGAATGTTAGGTTCTTCAATAACCCAAGAATTTTCCGCAACTTATTTGCGCACCCTAAATGCACACTTAAGATTACCTTTTCTCTTATTCAGAATGAAAGAAAGCACATTCTCCTTATTTCTTCGAACAGTTCTACTATGTACAAGGTTTAGTCTTATAGATCAAAGGGTGGTATTCATACTCCTTCCATCCATGACAATATTTGCAGGCTTCTTAATCTGGACATCCTCCCTTGTCATAATTTAAAATTTGATTAGTTTTGTTCCAATGAGGACATTCTTTTGGCTGTAATATTTTTGGGTCTCTTCTAAAATCCTAAGCATTGTGAGCATAAACACAAGATGCTCTATCATGACTATCACGTTAAAAGAAGTATATTTACTTGACCGTATGAGGACACCACACTGTTTTATATTGATACATCCAAAAATTTTTATCTTAAACCATTCCATCCAACTTTACTGGGATAATTAACTCTTGCTCCGAATGAGCAAATGAGCAGTAAACTCCATATTCACAATCCATTAAATGAGTACAATATTTTGTTTTATATCTATTCGGATGATAGACTTGCTCAACCTTATTGTGAGACCATTAGCACTAATCTCCTCTTGGGCATTTATTTGCTTATGGACACAATTAGCATCTATAAATTAAAAAAATAATTGTTAATCCTATTTACTAGTATGAATGCTCCTTAAGATCGCGTCTTCGGTCAGATTCATCATGAAAAAAAGGACAAAACTTTTTTTAATCGATTTGATGTTAACTCTCACACTTAAGTGTTTTAAATTGGTGATGGTTGATGTGTACTCTTGCTTGACAATTTTGATTATAAGCATCCAAATTTGTGAGTGATGAATCATGGGAACGGACTCGTCTGCTGCCAAGCATTCGTTAATAATCTATTTATTATATTTATCAATCATTGTATAATAACTTTTTTATAAACCCCTTTTCATCATAATAATATATATCTGAAAAATAGAAATATTAATAGTACTTAAATCATAAATGAATTTAAAAAATGGAATACAAAAATGAAGAATCAGCTAATTTCAAGATAGGGAACTACAAAGAAAATAATCGATTTTCTATGTTATGATATATCAATTACATATAAAATCTTGTGTTCGAATCTAATTAAGAATTACGCTAAAATAAACAAATTACTTTCTCTTATGATAATGAAAGCTAACCAATCAAGAAGAAATCTGATTAAAAATATATATTAAGAGAGTATTTTAAGATTTATTATTAATTAGTAAAGTTTTAAAGTTGAGAGATTTCAAAATTGAGATTTAAAGGGTGCACAAAGTGAGAGATAGATACTATTTTGATTTTTTTGTTACTTATTAGATCATTTGCTTGAGAATTATAAAATGAATGTTTCACAAATTTCAAATTTTTGAAAAAATAACTTTCATATCTATTTTTTCTCTTACACCTTTTAATCGTTGTGAAAGTCTCTATTCTTCTAAAACTGATTAAAATCATTTATTATGGAAGTCAATACTTTGAAAATAAATATGAATTTGATGATTTCAATTTATAGATGCTTCCTTAAGGCAAAGTACCTAGAAAATGGAATTTACTTGAATTCTTTTGAATTTGACTTACCCCTATTCTTTATCACCATCGAACCCTCCTTCATTTTAATTAATTATTTGATTTTGATATAGATGAAGATTTTGATATGATCGATTATAATTTTGTTTTAGATCTTATTAAAGTTTATAATGGTTCCTCTTCCAAAGAAGATATACTTTTTTTCCTCATTTTTCAGTGACTGGTATCATTTATAAGAGGTAATAGATAATGAACTTTACCAAATTCAAATATGTAACTCAGAATCAATAATTTTATTGTTTGAAATTAGGGTTTGTTGTTAATTTTATTTAGACCTCTTATTTTTATCTGCTCTAGATCTTAAAGTGCAAGAATATCAATATAAAAAGTTTAATTTCTCATTGAAGATTATAGCATCTTTAGAAAAATAGTATATTTTAATAATTCCTAGTTTTAGAAGTTATTTCTTTGATATAGAAGGCTTAAAGAATCCCCTAATTATTTTGAACCAATATCTAATGTCATAATTTCATTATTTGCATTAATATTTGTGATTCAAGTGATATCATAAAAGTTTTTTTCAACATATAATTAAGCTAATAATTATCTGATTTCTAAATTCATTAAGAAAATATTTTTATACTCCAATATCCACTAGATTTGACTAACTTAGATATCAATTATTCTATTATATTGTTGCTTGTAAGTATATTTATAATATAATTATATTATAGAGGATTAATTTAAAATAATTTTTATACTGAGGAAATGTTTGATAGAGAATTTTACAAAGGATATGTGTCCAAGAATGCTTAAATAAAGGAAGGATATGCATATGCAATCTCTGAAAAATGGTACTGATTTGTATTAATTATCAGGTACACACAATTTCAGACTTTCTTAGAGAATCCAAGAGAAGCTGACATTTAACAACTTGGATAGATTAAAAATCATAATATCTGTGACATTATTCAAGATTTTAATCCAAATTTAGATTGCTATATGGTACCTTAATAACATAGCATAAATTTTCGTAAAGTTCATAAGTTGAAACCTGGGCTTATATAATTTAGAGATTACTATATAGTTTCAATAGATATTTGGAAATTACTCAACATGTGTTTTCATGCAGGTATACAGTATGATGAAAAATGAATTTAGATTACGAAGTAATCGTGTTTGTTACTAAAGTTCTATAAGGTATGAGAAATTACTCTTTTTGTGACAATTTAGAATAAGGATATTGCATTTGCGATGAGACATTCTACTTGATTTTTGTGATTGTAGAAAAAGATGATAAGAGTAACATGTTGGCAATAAAAATGCCAGCATGTCCTTGGATAGGATTGACTAAATTTCAAAATTTTCTCTTCACCATTATTGAACATAAATTGGACTCACAAAAGTTTATAAACCAAGGTCATCTTTACTATAATGGGAAGAAAGTACCATTTTAAGGGAATTAGCTCTTGAAAGACATAGGGATAACAAAAGAGACCTAAATAATCTTATCATGCCCAAATATGACTTTGGAGGACATAGAACAAGAGATCGAAACTGATGGAGAAGATCGATAAATTCAATAAAGTAAAATAATCAATAAACTAATAGATTAACATAGCAAGTAGGAATTTTTAGAGATTTTAGAACAAAACATGAAGCATCAATCAAATGAATTGACTCTGAAATCCCAATAAGAAATAAAGTAATCTTTAGAGTAAAATGATTTCTTTTAAGTTTGAATTTAATTAATAAATAATTAAACAAATATGAATTGCTATTGTAAAATTTGGATGTGATAAAGAAATGTTTTTAACCAAATGTTATTCAACTTTTTTCATCAAAATTAAAAGAAAAGTCTCAACACAATTTAAGTGAAAAAATAATGGTCTGTAATATATTTTTATTTCAATATCAGAATTATATCACATATAGTATTTCTGCTATATAAATTCTATCTAGGTCTCCATCATGTGGATAATTATCACAATTCTTAATTGTTGGCTTTATTAGAAAATTCTCATATTATTGGTTTTTGTTAAAATTTGAATCAATTTCTTAATCAAATTAATAAGCTCTTGAATTTTAAAGTTCTTTTGTTATTTGTTATGTTAATTATTAAAAAATTATAATAAAAAAAATAAAAAAAAAGAACCGCCCTCCAAGGGGGTCGAACCCTTGACATTTGGCTTAAAAGGCCAACGCTCTGACCAACTGAGCTAGGAGGGCTAGCTTGATAGTTATTGTGTAGGAATTTAATAAATAGTCTGAGATGGATCATTAGAAATTTGGTTCATGTATAATTGATATTTCTGTTGATGTGGGAGAATGGATATACAGTTTTGGTAGATTGATACGAATTTTGAGAAGGTTTGTCAAACTCAGAGAAATTGTGTTAGTGGAAGGGGACTTGCGATGTGTTTGGCTCTGTAGATCTACTTAATAAGGAGAATGGTCAAGACAGTAAAATAAAGTGAAATATAAATAAATTCCATAAAGCCATTTATTTTATATAATGTCATTTGTTTATTGAATTGATTTAAAAAATTTTAATGTTTAGTGCTTCTGATATTTATCTTGCTACATTATATAGAAAATGAATATGAATTAAAAAACTTGCAGTGGCAGCAAATTAAATTAAAAATCCTTCGTTTATAATTGATTGTCCAAGTATTTATCCGGAAATCGTATTAAGGAAAATGACAACATAGATGTAAATTGAATTTTAATATTCTGGTAACTTTTGATTACTGACATGATTAAGAGCAACAACACCAACTGCTTTTGACATAGTGAATCCAACAGTATACATATAAGCTCTCACATGATTTTAAATCACATTACTTTGAGAAAATATGATGCTGTAGAGAATGACAATGTTGAAAAAGAAAAAATATCTTAGTTACTTTAATAAGGAAGTGATGGAAGTAAACTTTTTGATTTTGAGGAACCTAATAGTTTAGAGCATATATTTTACACAGCTGGCATAGTTATAATAACCGAAATGATGAACATAAGCATAACAAATTAGTTGATCTGATAATTGAAGAACCATGGCAATTTTTATACCCACATGCCGCATCCTAATTAAGTGTTGATCAATACCATAATAGGCAGTTGCTGCGAAGATTACAGCCACACTTACGGTGCCTTCTGCGGCTGCATTGATTATTGGCAAATTCATCTCGTGTGTGTAATATTCTTCATGTGCGATGATATAAAATGGTACAGAGGGGATAATGTAGAGGATGACGGAGAAAATGGTATTGCCAAATTGCATTGCGGTAGTCATGCTAGTGCCTATTTGAAGAACATAAAAGCAAGATTAATACCCTATAACAAAATGATCATGGAATCGAAATTGTGATCCAAAATCATTCCAAGAGGTGAGGAATTTTCTTATAAACATTTATTTTATTTTTACTTGTTCTCCTAGCTTGCTTGCCGTCCAAATTGTCGAAATTCTTCTTAAAATACATATAGTACCATATAGAGCATGTGCAACAGGGCTGTAAGCCAGAGCAACCAATTTGGTATGAATCCCGCAAAGTTGTCACCCATCACAAAAAAGTAGAGTATATGTGGTAAGATTATACATGCCAATCCCATCAATGTTAATACATTAGGTCTAATAATAAGGGTTGGATCAAATTCAAATACGCAACATTCATGGGTACAAATCTTAGGCATAATTCAGCCAAAGGAGAGAGGATGTAATTGTATAAGAGGGACTGATCTGTACCCTTATAACGATAACTCTTCAAGTAATGTAAATGTGTGGATGCAATAAAATCGTAGTTGAGGTAATTCATAAATTAAAATTATTTTAACTTTTTGCATACTTTTCCATAATCTTTTGGATTTTTCAATTTCTCACATGTAGACTTTCACTTTTCATTTGAATAATTATTCTAAATCGAATAAATACATAGTGATAATCAAAATATTTAATGCAATCGAAAGAATTTGATTGTTTTTATTAACTTTTTAATATATCATTGTATAATTTAATTAATATACAATATATTTTAATGTCGAGCACTTACTTGGAATAGGTGAGATCAGCCTTTTCTCAGATCGAAGTCATTGAAAAGACCATCGTATTTTGTATGCAGAGCAAACAAGTGATTCCAAATTAGTCTGTGCTGCTGGATCACAGAACCCACAATTTGATTTAAATGGCGCAAAAGACAGCAGCCGACGCATTGATATTAATTGATGGTGCTGATGGTTGGAAGAAGGAAGAGATGAATTATCTCTAAGGAGTTGGAGGCTCTGGAGATGTCTGGGAGAACTTCTATGAAAGATTTAAGGAAATCAAAGATTATCATAAGAGAGTCACCAATGTGTAAACTATGCAAAATAAAGTACATTATGTTAACTTAAATGTGTTCAGGTCGAATTTTACTATGAATAAGCATTTGCACCGCCGTTCAAAGAACCCTATTTCTCGGGAGAAGAACATCATGGTAGATTTCTTGATATGCATGCTAGCTATAAGGAATTCTTGAATCTCAAAAAGTTAAAGGAAAGCAACAAAATCAAAATTGGGGATTATTTGTGGTATTTGCAAAACTTTTAAAATTTTCATGACATCCCACTCTATATCAAAGAAAAGGAGGGAAGCAAATACAAGAGATATCTCATCAATATGTTGGATTATTTGCGTAGTTTTTATTAAAGAGTAGATCATTAATTTATTTTAGGTAAATCCTTTATAAGATGTTAGCAAAATTGAATAAAAAATAGATATTGATTTTTAAACCTAATGGGAAAATGGTCAAGTTAAGGGTTGGGAGCATAGAAAGGAAGAAACTGAAGAAATGAGAGGACATCCTCATTATTGTGAAGCATGTTAAAAGAAATTCTAAAATGAAAATACCTTTGTAAATCATTTTGATGGCAAAAAACACAAAGCATTGGCCAAATTAAAAGAAAAGCAAATAGAACAAGTCATTTAAGCTAGCAATCAATAAGAATTACCCAAGGAAGACAATGAAGGACAATGGAAAAAGAGGATGGCTTATTTAGAAGTGGCCATCTTATAATACAAGGATACTCTATAATAGCAATTGAATGACACAATGAATTTAGTGAGAAAGAAATAAAGTAGAAGATATGAAGAAAACGAAGATGAAGAAGCTGTTCCAGTTTAAGATTAATAATTAGGTATAATTGCATAATTACATTACGTAGATCAACCTGAAGAAGCCAGTAGTGAAGATGAAAGTCCAATCTATAATCCAAAGAATTTACCATTGGGATGGGATGGAAGACCTATTCCATATTGGTTATACAAACTACATGGCTTGGGTGTTGAATATAAATGTGAAATATGTGGGAATACTTCTTATTGGGGAAGAAAGGCTTTTGAAGATCACTTTCAAGGTTGGAGACATTCTTATGGCATGAGGTATTTGATTCTATTATTTTTTAGATGTCTGAGAATACCAAATACTTTGCATTTTAAGGAAATCACTAAAATTCAGGATGCTATCAGTTTGTACAAAAAAATCCAATAGGATCAAGAAAGAAGCAAGTTCAGACCAGAATATGAGGAGGAATATGAAGATACAGATGGAAATCTGTTAAACAAGAAAACTTATTACGATTTAAAAAAGTAGGGATTGTTGTGAAAATATAAGCCGTGATATAAGTTAAAATATAAAAAAATATTTCTGGTTTTAATGAATCAGTGGAAATTCGTTCGTAATGCTGTTGGATTATTTGGTTCTGCAGTTCATGAAGGATAAACAAAAACAGGAACAGAATTGGCACCAAGATCACTAAGAGAAGGTGGTCTCATATCAGCCTTGTATAATTTGGGTTGGGAAATTAATGATATGGGAGATATCTAAGGTAAGAATTACAGACTTCACAACGTCAAAAGTCAATAGTTTCGTAACAGTCAACAAATAGGTGTCATCAATGGAGAAATCAATAAGAGATCCTTTGATATTGCTAAACAAAATAAATTCATGCTTAATATTGGAGGAGATCATAGTGTAGCCAGTGGGTCCATTCATGGTTTGTTACAACATTATGGAGATGAATTACGAGTTGTTTGGGTAGATGCTCATGCTGATTGCAATTATGAACTTGGACCAAATAGAAACTATCATGGAATGCCATTGGCTCATCTATATGGTTCCATACCAGAACCAATCAAAGGGTTTGAGTGGTTAAAACACAGATTGGATCCAAAAAATCTCATTTATGTTGCCATCAGAGATATAGATCCAATGGAGAGAGAATTTATAAGAGATTAGAAGATAGTATATTATGGTATGGATGAAATCATAGAATTGGGTATTGGATAAGTGATGAATAGAATTCTGAAATAATTTGAAGGAAAACCAATTCATGTTAGTTTCGATGTTGATTCTATTGATCCTGAATTTGCACATGGAACTGGTACTCTAGTTGATGGAGGAATTTCTTATAGGGAAGCTCATTATTTACTTAGGAAATTAGCATCATCAAAATAATTAGTAGGAATGGACTTGGTTGAAGTAAATCCTTAATTGGAAAAGACTCCTGAATTTAGAGAAGAGTTTTTTGGTGACTTTTAATAAGTATTATAAAATATTGAAAATAGATTGGTCGCATTCAAGGCACATAAACTGTGGCTTTAGGAATCGAATTAATTGCTTCTGCATTGGGTAGAACACTTGTCTTGTGAATATTGTATATATATTTTAAAATAAGTTGAAATGTAAATTTTATGTATGATATTTGAATTTGCCAAAATATTATTGTCTATCAATTATCTTTTACATTATTAATTCTTGCTTAAGGGTTGAATATTAATTTAAGAGCAAACGATAAATTATCTCTTTAAAAGAATAAACGAATGAGAAGTTAAGGATGAGGGCTTGAAGACTTATTATTTCCAAATATGAACTTGTTTAACTAATATTATGAGCTTAATATATTGCTTAAAATCAAATGTTACATTAGAACCTTAAAATAGTAGATTATGCTAAAATCAAAAAAGAATAATAATCTTGACATCCTTCTACCTGTTTTTGATGTAATATTTTCAATTAAATGAAAGATTAATACATAGAAGATTTAAATTTAGGTTTATTAATATGAATTGAATTTATATAATATTCTAAATATAAATAGAGTTTATGCAACTTATTCTAAACCGACCAATCATAAGAGAGAATCACTTATTTTAATAATGTTGATAAACCTTATAATAAATTCAAAAATAAATTAAGGAATAATAAATGGCTAGAACTAAGTAGACTGCAAGAAAGAGTACTGCTGGCAATAAAAAGCCCACAAAACATTTGGCCACCAAAGCTGCAAGAAAGACAGCACCAGCTGTTGGAGCTACAGGAGGTTTGAAAAAGCCACACAAATTCAGACCAGGAACTGTTGCCCTTAGAGAAATCAGAAAATATTAAAAATCAACAGAACTCTTGATCAGAAAACTTCCATTTTAACGACTGGTTAGAGAAATTGCACATGAATTCCAAAAGGAACTCAGATTCTAAAGTTCAGCTGTCTTAGCACTCTAAGAAGCTGCTGAAGCCTATCTTGTTGGATTATTTGAAGACACTAACTTATGTGCAATTCATGCAAGAAGAGTTACAATCATGTCAAGAGATATTTAATTAGCAAGAAGAATTAGAGGAGAAAGATTTTGATTAAATCATAATAAATTCATATAATATTGATATTCTCTCAATTTTTTAGATATATTTAATCTAAATCAAATAATTTTAAAGGTGTTATTTCTTAAATTGTAAAATATTGATGCATCTTCTGATTAACATAATGCTACTTAGTAAAAAATGAATTTGAAATTCAAATTTTATATTATAATTAACAAATATTAATTTTCATTTAATTTTAGAATATATTTACTTCTTTTTGACTACTTTTTATGCTTAACTTTAGGGTTTGGTTGCCTTTTTAGAAACAGATGATTATGCTCTAGATGATTTTCTATTTGATTTAGGTGTATCAAGTATTTTTGAGTGATTCATTGTTTAGAGATTCTCTTTTGAAGAAATGTTTAATTTGGAGGGTTTCAATATTGATTTTTAAGTTGGCGGAAGTTACTCAAAGCTTTAACTAACTGATGTAGGTATTGGAGGTTTGCAATCAGATCTCTGCAATGAAGATCGATTTAACTTTTCAACTGACTTACGATCTGTGTCACAATTCTTAGTTTCTTTTCTTTCAGATCTCTCAGATCTTAATGTTTTTTGTTGTGATTACTATTTACCATTCAATAAATTCATATATTTATCTTCGATTTTACTTTTCTCTACTTATAATTTTGCATTCCTCTCCTCCAATTAATATATTTGTTCGCTCATTACTCTGGTTCTCTCCTCAACAAGATGATGAATATCTTATTATGAACTTTATTATCTACTCTCTAGTAACTAAATGTTCTTGTCTATCAATTGTTATTTTTCCTATTGCATTGATATTAATTAATACTTATTCTAATTGTAATACAAGATTATACAATTTCATATTTTTCTCTTTATATACTTTTTTTAATTCTTCTAATTCTTCATTGAATGAATTTATCTTATTTTTTAACTAATTATTTTCAACATCGTAATATTCCTTTTATGACTTTAATTGCTTTGCATGTGCCTATTTGATCAACTCCAGCTCTTCTGAATTTGTTTGATGCTCTTATTCATATTTCTCATATTTCTCTAATTTTTCTTTCAATTCTTAATTCTCAATTCTCAATTTAACAATTCTATCAGCTTCACTTGGTTACACAAGAATTGGAGGTTTGCTATCTACTATGAATTGCAATTCCTTAGATCCACTTTCGTCATGCACTGGAGATTTTTTAATTTTCTCTAATGAAGTGTAAGAATCCCTTTTAGTTTTAAAGTGTTTTTCCTCGCTCTAGCACTCCTATGTGATTTTTTTTCTGAATTATTCAAATTATTCCCAATGATTGGAATTATTATCAATTGACTAGTCTGAACTCATAGCAGTTAATAAAATTTCAAATATATATTAATTAAAATTATCATCTTTTTTATAATATATACAATATATGTAAAAAGAGTGATATCAATCAAGATTCTAAAAGTAGGATTCTTTGATTCATGGCTATTTTAGATTTCTCATGGTTGTATCAAAAATGATACAACTTGTATATTCTAGTAATATTATTCTTAATTCTTAATTCTGAATTATTTAATAATACTTTTTATTGATTAATCTTGATGTTTATAAAGAGTAATAATCATTTATTTCGTAAACCTTACAAATTACTTTTAATGATAAATAATACTTAGTAAATATTCAAAAATACATATTTCCGCGAAGTTATATTTAAATGAGTCAAGCTTGGTGTTTAAAGTTATCTTACTCTAACTCTTAATAGAAAATAGTATTTGATTGAGCATTTTCTATTGCTATATTATAAATTATTTCAATTACTATATACTAATTTACGATATTTTGAATTTTTATAAATCAAATCAAAAAGTAATGGTGGTTTTTAATTAGTTAGCAATCCATTTGATAAGATACTACAAGTTTTAGTTACATTAATTATTTGGAATCAATCATTAACCTAAATGATAAAGTACCCTCTAATAGCAATTGATCAGAAAGTGCTTAATGGATAGTAATTAAATATTTCAATCAAAAGGATGAAATGATTAGCTTAAAAGATTTTAATTACTTGCAATCAATTGTTAAATATACTAAATATAATAAGAAAGGTAACACATGATTGAAATTATTCAAAAAGATTCAAATATTATGACACTTGAACATAATTTATTACGGCTAAGTAATAAAAAATGATAAGGATTAATTATGAATTTGGTGGTGAGGATGAATGCATAACACATAATTTCAGAGGTTTTCCTTTATAATCCGATAGATATTAGAAAATCAAAATTTTTTTTATTAATGAACTATGATCTTTATGTTTACTGCTCTAATATTTATAAGATTTCGAAAATAAAAATCAATATCAATACTGAATTTGGGTTGAATACTGTAAAGACTATGTTAATAAAACTAATGATTGTATTTTATCAAAGAAAAACGGATACCAAAATCTTAAATCTTCGATTGTAAATAAAACATTTATGGTAATTAGATTAGATTCATAAACCATCAATCAAACACTCAAATTGTATATTTTACTGATGTATTCGTACACATCAGAAAATTTAAAAATAATTAATAAATATTTCCTACATACAATAATAGTTTAATCTGTTAAATTAGAATAATAATAACAAGTATCTTATAATAATATTTCTATGAATTTGATGCCAATGAAATGTATGACCTAAATAAGCAAATCTTAAATGTTTGAGTAGTTTAATGATTCTTTATTTCTGCTATAATTTAAAAATTCAAGAGAATCATTCGCTAAAACCCCTCTAACCATATGGTTGAATATCTGATCTTAAAATAAAAAATTATTTCCTCTCTATCTCTCAAGCTTCCATTCTATTGCTGTTCTTTGCAGTAATGTCTAATTGATTGATACATCATTTTTCATGTAAAATCTTTCGTTTTATGAACTAATTAAACAGGGAAACAGCTATAGAAGATATAGAGGAAAGTGCGATATAAGATAGATGCCTAAGCTTGGAATCATAAAGATGATTACAATTTAATTAATGCAAGAATGGTTAATACTGAGAATATCAGACCAGGTGTAGAGAGTGGATTGATGTAATTTAGAAGGTGATAAGATTACGACTTTGATCATATTAGGATGTTTTTTAATATTAGTAAAAATAAAAAGTTTATTAAAATAATTTATGAAATAGCTTTCACTTTTGATATTTGAATATTTGAAGACCAAGTTTCAGCATGTCGCCACAAAGCAGGTGAAATATAAGTATCATGTAACTAAGTCTTTGTATCACAGCTAGAAATGGAATAGGGAGAGTGTATGAATATCATGAGCAATAAAGGAAACAAGGTTAAGAGCACTTACATTAATTTTTCAGTATTAAACCTGTTTTTCAAATAATTTGAACGGATCGGAGTAGTAATTTATTTTATTGTGATGATTCTCCATTTTTCTGTATTCGGAGCAACTAGTGAAGAACTTATAGTATATGTAGTGCCTCTAACAATGCATTTGGTGCTATAAATATCCAAAGCTCTGTATTTCGATCACATCAAGAGAAAGGAGGACTTCGTTGTCAATGGCCGAAAGGTGACTCGTTTTCGTAGACTTCGAAGAGACAAGCCCAAATAATTGATCACCCAGTAGTAACAACAATAATAATCATCCTTCAAAAAGCCTAAAACGTCGTTATATGAGAATTGCTCATGGGATTTGGTGGAATTGGGTGATATCATCTATTTAAAACGAAATGAAATTTGCCCAGCTGACATGTTGTTGTTGGATGTGTCAGATGAAATTCTTTAAGTATAAACCTAAAATTTCAGAGGTCAAACTATGGATCAGACCAGGTATCCGACGCAATTGACAATGTTAAAGAATGGGCGGAACAGATTGTAAGGGTTTGATTACAAGAAGCTATTAACAGGTAGTATTCAGTACAACATTCAGGATGATTAGATATTCGGATTTATTAAATTGAAAAAGGATCCCAAGGGCGAGCAATTTGAGAATAGAAATATCTTATTCAGGGAAGAGTAATTGAAGACATGTCAATATGTGATTGGAGTGGTGTTGCAGACTGGCAACAATTGTTTTTGTTACTAGAACATGGAGAAGTAGGAGAAGAAATCCTTTTTTGTTAAGAAATCCAGTATGTTTTTTGCACTAACTCTCGGGATATCATTGATAATATCAATTTTCAGTTGGTTTTTAGCCTCCTTTGCAGCATGTTTACCATACAATCAAGCTGATTTTGATGTCATCACTTTAATTTTCTATTTGCTTCAGTATTTGAAGACTACTCCAATATACTTTTATAATTGCATTGACTTAATAGAAGTATTAAATGCACACCTCAAGTTTACAAAATACAAGGGATTCCAAAGTGCGAGCATAGATTATCTGTAATTAAATCCAGTATCTGTTGGAGACATGGTAATGACAGAATATGTTTGTTTCGATAAGACAGGTACGATCACTACTGGAGAATGTAAGATTCATGCACTGATTGTGGAAGATACAATGTATAAGTTTAGTTACAACAAAATGAATAAAAATCAATGGAATATCTTTAAGGATAACATTCAAAACTAAATCAAGCAGGATCCAAACTTTTAGATGGAAGAAATTGATGAGTCCGATCTAGAAATTTAATCTAAAAAAATTAGACATACAGGAATATTCAAATTGACTATTCAACACAGAACTTCAAAGAAGATACCCAGTTACGAATCAGGGAGATAAGACTTGGCTAGTAGTAAAAGTATTGCCAATCCAATGGATGATGGAGATGGGGAATTTGAGAATATGAAATTGGAGGATTTTGATGACACTCATTACAGAATCACTCCTGAACTATGTACAAACAAACCAAAGCCATTTTTTAATAAAAAAGCTATTGCTACTGCCCCTGTCTAAGTAGGTGTTAGTTAAGGGGGCATGCACTAACTTCAAGAGGATGAAATGCTTATTAAGTAATCATCTTATAAGGATGAACAAAGATCATTTGATAATAAATCAATAATGAGTAGGAAGGTACTCGAGAATTCATCAAGAGATATGAAGAGATAGCAAAGTATTAAAAAGTCTATGCAAATGGATAAGGTTGCTGAGGAAGATTTGGAAGTGATCTTTTCTAGAGAGAATGATTTCTATAAGCATCTTATTCATGGATTGAATAAGTTGTTATATTAGGAAGCCATTTTATCACTCCTTTTGTGTTAAGAGATTGTTTCCAGATACTCTCCAAGTGAAGATCATTTCATGCATGATTCAACTCAATTCACATTTGATTAGGAACTGTTAAGATTTGTAAGTCTGTTGGACATTAAATTTTTATGTTGCAATGAATTCAATGGCAAGGTAGTCTATATAATTGATTTCTTTGGTGAAGTGATGGAATTTCAGGTTATGGCCAACTATCATAATGCCACTCAATAGGGAGTTTTAGTGCTATATCCTGATAAATTGCAAGAGAAATTTCTATTGATTAATGAGAGTGATCCAATGGAAAGTTTACAATACATATTTATTATGAGAGAAGAAACCAATTCATTGCCTGTCTACATTGATGTTGATAAAGGAAGCAGGGAATATTGGGATAAGGTGTTCCAGAAATTACATATGTGTGGAATGAGATCGGTAATCTATTCAAAAGTGTACTTGAAAGAGAAAGATGCAAGTCTGTTTATGTCTCGTTATCAAGGAGAAGAAGGAATGAATGCTTTTAATGAACTCTCCAAAGATATGCAGATAATCCAAGTTGTTGGTGTCAAGGAATAGATGCGAAAAGACACCAAACCTTTGATTAACCAAATGAAACAGGCCGATCTGAGTTTGTATCTCTTGAGTGGAGATGAAATCAGCAGAGTGTTGCCAATTGCTTTCAAATCAAAAATAGTCAATCATCATGACACTCTGCTGTACTTAGACAATGAGAATGCTAGAGTGGTGATGAAGAACCATCTTACGATCATCTCACAATAACTTAAATTAGATGAACAGGCCTCGTCCAAACCTCTGAGAATGAGCACTCTTGACAAGTATCACAAGACTTTCACTTAAGATGAGAAGTATACAACCTATCCTGATATCAAATCCTTTAGCATTGTTTTGAGCGGTGAGTATTTCAATGACATCCTCTCTGACAGTTACTTATTGTCTCACTTTATGTTTCTGCTTTATTTTAGCAATTCTTTGGTGGCCTATAAATTTAATTACAATCAGAAGGCTAAGATCATCAATATTATCTAGACTTCCTTTATTGGCAACAAACGGGTGTTGGCTGTTGGTGACTCATTTAATGACATACACATGTTTTGCCAAGCCAATATTGGAGTGCAGTTTTGCCATTTCCCTATGTAGAATCAATCTTATTAGAGAGGCAATACTAAATTAAAGTTAAACAGAAAAGTCACTTCTAATAAATTATTGGATAATCCCTTAAATCGTAAATTCTTATAAAATGAAATGTGGATCATACCCACAGCTGATGTTTGTTTGAAGGATTATGTTAATTTAAGTGCCTTAATGTTTTTTGAGAGCAGAATATTTGCTGAAGTCTATGATGATTTATTAGTTTTCTCGTTTTATAGATCATTACTTATAATTTATATATTATTTCTCTATTATGCAACCTATTGTAGTCAAAACAACACTATATTTACAGGTACTTGGCTCACTGTATATTAAAGCATCCTCTTATTTATTCAATAATTAGTAAGTTTGAAATCGAAAATGCAAAGATAATATGATAAGGACTCAATTACCTACATAGAATAATTCAAGAACAACATCAAGATATTCAAAAAGAAGAAGGTCGCCTCCTTTATCCTCAAGATCAACGGCAATGCCTTGTTGGACGCAGCCTTGCTCTACATATCCCTAAGAATATTGGACGATATCCCCATAGATACCTTCAAGCAAATGCTCTTAATCTTGCTGATACTCAGCGATATCGTTAAATTAATTGTCTCCACCACTTACAGCAAATACGCCTGGATTGCCTTTATCAGCACATACTGCTTATGCTGGCTGCTAATGGCAATTCTCACTGCATACTTCGACAATATGGAAGGCTTTATACTCATGTTCACATTGCCTTAAACTTGGTTGGCTCTATTCTCCTATGTTTTTACACAATACTGTCTTAGTAGCATCATTGAGATGATCCAATCCCTCTTTTGTTAATCCCTCATTGATAAAGACCAATATGAGGAGGTATAGAATTTCATCGTGAAACCACCCAAAAACGGTGCCAAAAAGTATCATAATTTGATCAAAAGATTTGCATAACTGGCTGGAAAGGTGTTTAAAAAGAATAAGGATGAGATGGACATTGCTATATAGGATGTGATATGCGAATTGAAGGTGAATTCTGATAGGATCAACAAATTGACCCTAAGATTTCTGAACAAAGACACAGAGATGAAGTTTAAAAGGATGTCCAAATTGAGGTGGATCAAATTCGAAAAACTCAAATTAGGGTTGTAACTAATCTTTTTGGAAGTCTTTGCTATAATCATATATATATTAACCTACAAAACTGATGTTCAAACCAGGACTTACTTCATTATATATATCCTGAGTATAGGTTGCTAATCCATTTTGCTAATAACAATATTTTCAAGCATCTACTTGAAACATTTCTTTTAAATCAATTTAATTATCGCTTGCATTAGACTACTAACCAAAATGGTTTCTGATTTTGCATAGGATGGAACCTACGACATCTTATTGAGTCAGTCTTACATCGTGATCATAATCTTTTCGAAATTGCACATCCCATTGATTAATTTTATAATAGCCACCTTGTCCATTGTAGGGTTCTTTCGAAAATACTTGGTTGGTGAGGATTACTATCAGATAATCAACGGCAATTTGATAGTGTTGATAACTCTTATACTATTCATATCCTTGCAATACAAATTGAATATGCTGGAGAAGTAGGATTTCATGTTGACTGCAACACTCAATTAGGAGACCACGCAAATGACCAATGTTCTGTCCATTCTGTTGCCCAAATTCATTCGAGATAGGATCAATGCAAGTAAGATAATAATATGATATTTTAAGAGGGAATGTATGAAATACAGGAGAATCAAGGAGAAGTCTCAATTTTGTTCTGTGACATATGTGGATTTGATGATTTGATTGCAGTTGAGAAGGAGAACATTGTTAATCTATTGGATAGTCTATTCAGAGGATTTGATGCGTTGTGTGTTTCAAATGGGATGCAAAAGATCGAGACTGTGGGGAAGACCTATATGGCAGCTGGAGGATTGAGAGCAGTGGATCAAGGCACAAAGTTCATCAATCAAAGTGCTGTGAAAAGAGTAAATTCATTATCATATATTCGAAGGCAGTTTAATTATCCCTTGAGATGATGGAGTATTCCAAGAAATTCAAGTTTGGATAGACTGGCAATGTAAGAATAAAAATTGGCATTCATTATGGCAGAGTGATTGCTGGAGTTATTGGACATCACAAACCTCAGTTCTCATTAATTGGGGACACAGTTAATACAACCAGCAGAGTGTGTTCTACTGGGCAAGATGGAGAAGTCACCATATCCAATGAAGCCTACATGGAATTGAATATGCCAGATTTGTAATTTAATTAGAGGAAAGTCAACGCTAAGGGCAAAGGAGAATTGATTACGTGGCAAATCATCACTCAGATTAAGAGAAATACAGATAAGAAAGAAAGGAAAAAGAAGGGATTGATCCCTAAATTCGATTCAAGTTAATAGGATCAATAAACAATGAACAGATTAGATCCTGTTACTCCAAAGACTGAACATCGTTAATTAAAGGTACCTTAACAATCGAAATAATTTGATATGTTGACTAGTAATTCCAGTCAGAGAATTGAGAAATAATTATCTTAAGAAAATAATTCTAATAGTCAAATATTTTTGAAGGATTCATTGTAAAAGGATTTGGTTCCTATTCGAAAAAGAGGGCAACGAGGTCCTACTTTAATTATGAAACAACAAGACAACAGATCAGCCTTAGCTCTGCAATTACAACATTCAGGCAGTTAGAATGCGATCCAATAAACGAGTAATAGGAATCTTCCTCCGATTGTTGTTTATTAGGCTGAAGAAAGTGCCCATTCAAACAACAATTTCAGAGAAGAGTCATTTCATGAAAAAAATCAAACAAATCTACTCCATGATCTATCCTAAAAACTCAGAAGAGATTTATACATTGAAATGATTGATGAGTCACCAGATTATGAAATTGAAATTGAGAAAATACAATTTGATGAGGACGAGCAATTTGTTAGTGAAGCACTTTAGTTAGAGAAATCAAAATTCTACCTCGATTTCAAAGATAGCTAAAAGGAATTGGGTAAAGAATTTATGGAATAAAAGGAAGGTATTAACATAGTCTTAATCCTATTATTGCACTTTATTTAATATGTCTCCAAGACCTTATCTCTACTCTTTATGTAAAATGAACCTAATTGGATGGCTGTCTTTGTGATACGATTTATTGTCTCCACTCTTTTGTTGGTATTAGCAATACTGCAAAATAAGAAATTGAAACATCGCTTTTATAAGTATGAATATTTCTTGACTACTTATATTGCATTGTTGATCAGCATAATATTGGAATTCATTATCCTAACTAAAAAATCGGTTGAATTATAAGCAGCAGAAGGAATCCTACTAATATGCTTCTTCTCTTCAATACCAAATATCTCAATAAAATTCAAAATTTGCTTTAATTTCTGTTTTTTTGTGGCTCAATTGTTGATAGTCTTAATTAAATACAAAGATTTATCCGTAGCTTATTACACTGTGTTTTAAAGTTGCATGACCTTCATCATTCAATACCATTTATTCTTCTAGGATCTAGGTACATTTAACAACAAAAGATCTCTAGAAACTAAGAAACTGCAAACTTAAAATTTGGTGAAGTATCTACTACCTTCTCATATACTGAAATAGTTCCTATCAAATACAAATTAAAGAATGGTGTTGGTTGATTAATTCGAAGATGCCACATTATTATTCGCAGACATCGCTGGATTTACTGAATATTCCAGCAAAGTTGAACCTGAACAAGTAGTCAATATGCTTAGGAATCTATTCACTGAATTTGATAAGAAGTGCTTAACTTAGAATGCATATAAATTGTATACAATTGGAGATTGTTATGTTGCCTTTGGTATAGTTGATGTAACACAAAGAAACCCAGCGTAGGAAGCCAGAAATGTTGTCGAATTGGGATTCCAAATGATAGAAACTATTAGATAAGTGAGAGCCATCATAGGGTTTGATGGATTGGATATGAGAATTGGAATTCACACAGTAAACTATTGTTTTAATTCTATAGGGTCGTGTGATTGGAGGAATTTTGGGTACTGAAATAGTGCGATATGATGTTTATGGAGCAGATGTAATGATTTCGAACAAGATGGAATCCAATGGAGAACGTGGCAAAGTCCAAGTATCAGAAGAAACTAAGCAATTACTTGAACAAAGTTTCCCTGATCAATTTCTATATACTTTCAACAAAGAAGTTGAATTTAAATGGATTAATCGCAAAACTAAAGGTTACTTCATTGAACCAGTCAGAAATGATAGCAACGATGACTTTGAAGACGTTAAAAACCTATAATTAGTTAAAGAAATGGATTAGCTAGATTACGATAGGAAATGAGAAATTAATTAAATATTTATTCTATAATTATCAGTGCCAACAATGTCTATCTCTACTCTATTTTGCTCTCATTAAAACTAGTTCCTCTCTACTCAATCCCCCATCAACAACTACTTTATCAGTCTTATAACTCCACATTCCACTCTTTTAACGCATCTCAAGTGTTTATTTTTATTTTTGTATTTTTTTAGCCACTCCAGCGAACTTTTCCTCTAGTCGATCCTCTAAACTTTTCATTTCCTCAACTGTTGGTTTCTTTCTAAATTGATATGGTTTGAACACTGGAATGTCTTAACCAAATGGTTCTCTTATTAATAGGGATTTTTGATTCAACATGGTCAAAATCTCTCTAGATTCCATTTCCAATGTTTATTCATTAAGAACCACTAGGAAGTCTCCTGCTTCCAATTATTTTAAGAATTAAGTGTCCTAACCATGAACAGATGTCCCTGATGTAAATATCATTCCTAATCCATCTTATAATGGTTTCTCGATCACTACTCTCTTCGCTGGTCCCTTTTCTTAAATCTTCTCCAAGAATAGTTATTCATCTTATTCAAGTTCCTCTCTTTCTACCTTGTTTCTTATCTTCTATTCATTTCTTTATTGTTTCTCCCCAAACTGACCTTTCAATTTTAACTTCCCTAAACTCATTTTAATAATAAATAGATTAAATCAAATTAAATCAACTTATCATAAACATAAACAATATCATTTCAATAAATCTATAACGGTACTTTTGGTGCATATTTTGGAGCATAAGTATCATATAACTCCTTCAATCCCTGGATATAAATTTGGTGATATTTATCCACATCCTCTTTTGATGGATTCTCAATTTTTGGCAATTCTATTCCTTTACCACAAACCGTTATCATCTCAATGTGAGGTTCCTATATAACTTAATTATATTCTAATACAGGCACTGTGAAGAATCTACTCCAATAGATGGTTCCTATCAACTTAAATTTATTAAGCCAAAGTCTCAATGATTAAAACCCATTGAAAGTATAAAACATATTGTTTTCACCAAATGTAAACACAGGATAGATTGTAGTCCCGTATCTCAAAGCATACTTTACGAAACCCTTTCTCTCCTTTATGTAAACCCTGTTCTCTCCATACTTCGTGAGTGTAGCCTCCTCAAATCCTCCCACCATTATACCTACATTTGATCCCTTCTTCAACAACTTAGTTAGGTTCTCTGGATGCACTCCTTCCAATCCAAATAGTGTTAAGAGGAGTCCAGAAAATGGTATCGATAATGCGAATCGTGAACTCAATACAACCAAATTTTCAAAGAAGGTATTCTTTGTATACAAATTATGAACCATTCCCATGCTGTATATGCCGTGTGGATGAAAGCAAAACTAAATTATTACCATCTTTTACCATTGAATTGTTTTTCTTAGGTTTCTCCATTTCCACTATTTCTCTCTTGTCAAACCATTCCATGATATTAAACCATAGTTAAAATTTTATGAACGCTTCTGATTTTACGTACCTCAATTGCAAAATCATAGTCACAACAAAAAGGGCAATATTCCAAGATTCTCTATAAACAATCAATCTGTATAGCATGTAGCCTGCTAATCCCATAAATATGATCCAGAATTAAAAGAAGAATGTGCCCAAAACTGCATTTAAAGGTTTAGCCATAATTTAATAATTTATCACTATGCAAAGAAAGAGTTTTCTTATTTTAAAGTAAATTATTACGATTTCGATTTAATAAAGACGTATTTATTTAATAATTATTATTAAAATTAAGATGAAAAAATTATTTTTCACATTTATATTACATAATATTTTAAATTTTAATATTTATCAAAGTATTAAGTTTATTAATATTTTTTTTTGTTTAAATTTTGTATTTTAATGAAAGATTGAATGGCATCCATTATTAAGATGATGATTAACAGCTAATTAATTCAAGTTATCTCTCTTTAATGTAAATTTCTTTTATGAATCTACTTACACATAGTTATTTAATAAATAATCCTATAATAATACAATAAAGCTTTTATACAATCAAAATAAAGAAACAATAATTTAATATAACGATTACATGTTCAAATATGTATAATTCTACATTTATATAAAAATGAGCATAACCAATTTATAATTGAAGAATTAATAATTAATATTTATAATTTGCATGAAAGCAATATTATTTCTCATATTAACTTAAACATAATCGATTATTTGTATGAGTATCCTTTGCTTGGATCGATGGATTGCAATTAGATAAGTTTTGATTGCCCAGGAGTAATTTCTACGACTACATCTCTGGAAATATCTATGCCTACTCCTTTCAGGTTGGTGACTTCAAATGTAATGGTTTCTTAATAGGTTTTAGATTCCTTATTTTCATAAAAGAAAGCAACTCCAGCAGGGAACTTAACAAGATAAAAGAAGACTTGTATATTCTTTTTATGTAAAATATTATACTTATCCTTATATGGCTCTCTAAACTTTTTAATCTGGCTTATGGAGAGCTTGTTGAATGATATCTTATTCAGATTTGGCTTCGACAACTTGTGTTTAACATTTCAATGCGTATCCATAGGAACCTCCACCTTGTTTAGTAACTCTATATTTGACCATGACAGTAGAAAGAGGCTTGCATTGTATTTGAACATCAGCAGGGTTCGTATAAGGAGGACAGATTTCTAAGTTTTATATTTTATCCAAATGAAGAAGTTCCTAAAGAGTTTTTTTGGTTGTTTAATTTTGATACCAATAATAAAGATAGCCACCAACGACTCCAGAAATCCTTCTAATTCCCGGTTCAATATCTTTAACCTTTTCCTCGTCAGTGTCTCTCTCATGTGCTCTCAGAAATCCATCAAAGATTGTACTGATAGCCAATTTTTCTTGACCAGATTGAAATTGCAACTCAGAAAATTAGACTGAATTTGATCCGTAACAAGAAATGGCTAAATATCGATCATAATTTTAAGCCCAATCTACTTCAATATATAAAGCATAATATCCAGGTTCAAATAACTTTTCAACAACGATATCCCTCTCATTATCAAATGCGCAACCTGAATAATGTAAAACTTCTTTTGTATTCTTGTCTAATTCACCAATTATCAATCTGGCTAGTGAATATTAATGACCTTTTTAGAAAAATCGTTTATCCGATTAGGTCAAAGAAATAAATGCATGTGATTTCTAATACACCTTCATCAAGATCACTTTTGTTGTAATCGTGTCCTAAGCATTAACTTACAACGTTGTGGCTGTATAGAAATAATCTGGTTTAAATTTGCAAACACAAACCTAACTAAATTCAGTTATGAAATCTTTAACACTCATCCAAAAGATTCCATCATCCTTTTATTATACTTATAATCTCTATCTTAATTCAGGTGTCCATTTTGCAGAATTATCACTCCAGTCCTTTGTCCATTCTTTTCTACCCCAAGGCTATTCAAATTTATACTAAATGTAATACATTTCTTATCTTAATGATTCTATCAGGTTGTCCATCACTTCCAGTCACTCTTTGCACATCCAAAATTGCATAGCAATGCTATGATACTATACCACCTCCATTGTCTAATTCTACACCTTATTCATTAGTTTCTGAGGATGCTGTCAATATGTATTTTTGTTTGTCATTTTTCTCCATGAACTCCCAACATAAATCAGCATCTTTTAAGGTTTCCCCTTTTCTGATAAAATATTCGCTTGGAGCTCCAGTTAAATCCTTTAAGGCACAACTTGCTAATCCTGATTCAATTTTATGATAAGACCCAAATAATTTAGCATAAGCTTTTTCCAACAGAAGCACCCATAATTCGTTTCCATTTGCTTTTGAAAATATCGGACCTCCTTACAGATTACAAGGAATATGATCGTCCACAACTATTTCCTGCAAAACTCCATTCTTACACATATAAATACCATAAAGGCCTTAAAGATTTAAATAATACTCTTACCGCTTTATTAATACTCTTGATTTCTGAATAATTTCTAGATTTATTAGGGGATTTCAGCCAAAGCAGACAAGGAACTTAAAAAATAGCAATCTCCAAGTTCTCCTTACTTGATGTCCATTGGATCAATTGACTATTGATTTTATATGGATTAATACGTCAAACAACTTGATTTGACCAGACTGTAAAAACTATTCTGGTCTCTTCCATGCAATGTCTTTTCCCTTCTTAAAATTGGGATCAGATGAAAGGCTACTTCGAACAGGTGGAAACTTACTATCCTCAAATACTGCTAATGATTTATTGTGCCTAAATATGATCCAAAATCAATACATTTCTTCAAGAGCCAAATCATATTCTGTTTTGGCTTAATTGACAATAGTATGCTAAGGCACAATTCGATCAGCGACAGTGTGTGTTTTATTTGATATAACTTCTGGTTGCTTTTCAGGAAGAATAGTTGTGTCGAAAACGAAAGGTTTATACTCTGTCTCAGGAGCATGTTCATGAGCAGGAACTTAGATCTATTTAGTGCTGGCACAAATTCCCATACGATAAAAATATTATTAAATATATTTTATCCAAAAAAGATATTTATAACTGTCAAATACTTAGGTAATTATTTATTTTTTGTTTTCATATCTTTATATAAACTTAGATCTGATACCCTAATTATATTACTACCACTTTAAGTAAGAAATAACAACCTGATATAAGGAAAGAGATATTTTGATTAATAATTAAAAAATAATTTATATTTATGAACAAAATTAGAGTAATTTCAAGAAATATCGCTTCAATGATATCAAAGTCATCATTGAACCAAGTTAAAAGAACCAAATTTTTTAAGACCCTCACAAAAAACTAAGACTCTATATAATCTGGTTAAGTTAAACTACTGTAGTAATAATGTGTTTAAGAGAAACTAATAAGTCCAATTGCAGAATTATAAAATATACAATATAAGTTAGTTAAGCAATCGATCAGATATGGCTTATCAGAGTTAGTTAAAATCGATAGAAGTTAACCAAGGGCTCACAAGAACATCAATTATGCAGGTGATTATGAATCCAAATTTGTGCTTTCCCATTTCATACATGCATTATACTTGAATAGAATTGGAGCCAATGATTACTACTTTACATTAGATGATTTGAAGACAACTCAAAGCGAATATCGACGAACTTGAATTTGTAATGATGTAACTTAAAACATTTATATACATCATTCATACAACTTTCATACATCTGCTCCACAAAACATTAATAAGAGATCGCTGTCTTCTTTATTGTCTAATATCGCCTTCTTTATCTCTTCAAAGGGAATTTCGTCTGTGATATCTTTATCGACAATTTAAAAGATTAACCTAGTATAATATTCGCACAATATGTCCAAGAACTCACCCTTATCTTATACATAATGAGATAGACATAATTTGGCCAATTTAAAAATTTCATCGTGAGATAGTCTACCATTACCATCACTATCAGAAATTGAAATGAAGAGATCAATTTTTTCAACCACTGTTTTTGCTTTAATGCTCATCATGAGTCTTAGGAATTCTTCCCAATTAAGGAATCCACTATAATTATAATCTATCCGATTAAATATCTATTGAGCCAGGAATTCATTTTGAAAGAATATCTAAAATATTCCTCTTCTGTAAGTTTAATAATCGACTCCGTCATTGATATTATAATATTTGTATCTCTGCGATGTAATTTACTATAAAGCACAATAGAGAACATAAGTGTTGTGTAATTCATATCGAGAAAAAGTTGATGATGATAATAATTTAGGGATATTTTAAATAAATAATTCTCGATTGATTTTTAATAATTACTGTAGACTAAATTTATGGCTTATTCTCCTTTTAATATTCTTATGTACAAAATTTTATTGAGTTTTTGCTTATTTTTTTTATTCCATATTATTTAATTGAAATTATTCTTCAACAACTTCCTCCTTCTTTTAAGGTTGATTCAAGAATTTATTTAGTAAGGGTTCTAACAAACAGGCAGCTTGTTTGATTTTTAATCTCATCTCCTCATTTTCATTATCGAATTAAATCTAATTAATGTCATCAGGTTGATTTTAATTGAAATCGATTTTTTTCAGTTCTTATTCATACAGTTACAACATGTCATCAAACAACTCCATTTTATTCTATTCCTAAGTTTCGGTTTTATCTATTTAAATATGAGTCCCAGTTTTTTATTAGGTTAGGTTATTGTCTATGTTAAGTTGAGTTGGTTTTACTAATTTTTCTAGAGAATTCTTTAAACTTGACTTTCTAAGTGAAAGACCTTTGAGCTGCGATTTCAATTCTTTGGAATTGTATTAAGCATCCTACCCATCATTTAGAGTTCTAATGATATCCTCTACTTATGAATTACTGTTTTTATATTACTTTTTTTTAATTTAGAGGAAGTTATAAGTTTTGCATTACGATTCTAAAAGATCTAATTGTGGGTTCTCATAAGGTTTATATACAGAATTCTGACTATAAATTAGAGTCTTGTGAATGGGGGGAATGTCTAGGTGAGAGTTAATGGGAGTTCCATCTTTTAAATAAAAAAATAATCTTTTGCTATTAATCTTTTGCACATTCCTCAAACACTTGACAAAATCATCAAATCTTTCTTTAGGTTAAGTCAAATCTGGAACATACATAAATTAATAGAGGAATCGTTCATCCTCCATAAATAATTAATTACAAATTATCATTTATCTTAATCTCTTGATATTTTATAATAAATTTACCCTGGCGATTACATAAAAAACTCACTATCAGAGGATTCGGCCATTCTTCTATTAATTTTGGCTGTAGACATGATGCTTCTACCATACATACTTGCAACCATTCTGAATTTAGGCAATTCTATGATTGAATTCTTATGGTCTGAATTTGAGAAATCAATTCTCTATTTGTATTTCTATTCCTAAAATTTTGTAGTGGCTGTAATGAAAGGCTCCTCTCTTTGCCTTGTTAAATACAGCGAACTGGGTGTTTCTTAAATGGAAGGCTCGGTAGTTCTGAAAAACAATTTCTGAACCGAAATTTCATCTGATTGCTAAGTTTATTTTCTGTATTGTTGATATGAAGATCTTTAATTTTAAAAGAGCAAATCTGAAGTGGTTTTGGTTTGTGGCATGGATAATTCAACTTGCGATTTTACCATTTTCCTGACAAGTGGTTATTATTAAAAAGAGGCTAACATTTATATAATTTAGAACTTATAAAATATTTATCAAAAGAACATCTATGACCCCAAATATCTTATACCAAATCCGATTATCGTACATAGTATTTAAAATGACAATAACACTCTGCATAAATTCTTTTCACTTGTAGGTCCCTTAATCAACAGCACCAAATTGATTAAAGTCAAATTAGTCTTGATTGCATATAACAAACCTGTCTTCTGATCATATCTACATATATATTAAACCATATTTTACCTTGGTAATCTATGTCTTGGACATGGAATTATTCCAAATAGTTATGGAAGTGAATACAAGAAATTTATAAGTTGTGGAATGCAGAATAACATCAAAGTTTTTGAAAAATGACCAAGAACAGCTGCCACTGCAAATGTCATTCCTGACCAATAGCAAAATACGTCTCCCACAAATACTTTAGATGGAAATCTATTATAGTTGTACAAAGCTAATGCTGATGAAATGTAGGGTACTATTATCATTAGACTAAACAAATGTTATTGTTATGTTGAAATTTCAATGATATTATAAACCGCAATTGACAATGCAATTATTATAGATTATCCTACTTCCAATCCATTAACTCCTGCATAAATATTAATTGCGTTCGATTAGAAAGTTGATAGCATTATCATATATAGATAATAAATTGGTCCTAAATCAATTGACTATCCAAGATATGGTCTAATCAATTGAGGTAAAACTATTTAGGTTCCTCCTGTATAGGCCACAATCACAGGCAAACTTGCAATTGGTGGTAACAACAGTTTATATCTCCAGGCCAAATCCAACACATCATCAGCAAAACCCAAAAATACTATAAATGTAATAGCTAACAATCCAGATATATGAGACAGTATTAAATCAGGCATGTATGCTCTAGTAAACAATATTCCCAAAATATTGAATATGAGATAAATTGTGGCAGGAACTATTCCTAGTGATTCTGGGATTTTGATGGTACCAGCCTCCGTGCCTATGAAATTTCATGCATAAATTACCTTTCTTATTTATATCATAACCGAAAATATCTGCCTTCTCGGTTAATTAAGCAATCTTTGGAATCATCCAATATGATAACACGTATGCAAAAAAACTTAAGACCATGTAACCTAGAAAGGCAAAGAATTATTCTTAATTCAATGCACCCTTTAACCCATTCAACACATAGGCCAAGACTACGACAACCAAACCAGGTATAAATCTTGTTTCAAACATTCTTTAGTTTATTAAATTAATTTATTAATAAAATGATTTAATTAATAAAACACAAGAATTACGTGTAAATTGTTAACAAAAGTTAATGCTTTTTCACAATTATTAATATAATTATTTTATCAATACTAGGTTATTTTTAGATTTTTCATTTAAAAATTCTTGTTTTTCTTCAGAAATAACATACATTAAACACATCTTTTAGTAGTGTGTTTCAAAATGTATTTAATTACAATAATGATATATTTTGTTATGCCTTTTTGTTTGTTGTTATATTTTTTAAATATAAGAAGAAACAAGCGGGCTAGTTACATCAAAATAAATTATAAAATAATGTCAATAATTCTTAGAATTATATGATTATTAGATAGGCTTCTGTTAATTTCGGAAATTCTGAATTCCAATCATATTTTATTAATTTGTATGTATAAAATTAATAATATCTCATTTTAAATATAATATGAAAACAAATATCAGCGAAAATTCGCCTAAAGTTAACTCACTTTTTTAAGTAGTCTTGATGAATGTGAATATCTAACTAGGAGCCTTAAATATTGGGTACGTTCTCTCCTATTTAACACTTACTATTGACACACTTTTCGATAATTTGTATGTTTTTTGATTTAAATATAAAGGGGTATAACAAAGGAAGAAAGAACAAGCTCTTTGAGTGTAATAAATGGAATTTTGCCTTTAGGATGTGTTGTGGGTGTAATTATTGGGTATTTTCTCAAAAGAAAATTTACTAACAAACAATGTATTCATATTGCTGATCTAATTGGATTATCAAGCCTCTTGGCTGTAATAGCCAACACAAATGTAGTAATTGTGTTTCGTTTTTTTCTTGGAGTTGCAAATGGCATCTCCAGTTTAATTATGCCTGTCTATGTAAAGTCCTTGTGTCCTGAAAAATATTATTACTAAATTAGTATGATTTTGGGATATGGAGTGAATACAGGCTTGGCAATTGGATAATTAATGGGTATTGGATATATAAAGTAATGTATAATTTATAATTATAGGTATCATGGTGAAACATCGAACTGGTGGAGGATTGTGTTTTTGTTTCCAGCCATAATCTTTATAATCAGATCTACCGTGATTTATTTTTGTTACAATTATGACAGCCCAGAGTAATCATTGTAAAGAAACGATGTAGAACATGCAAAATACGTAAATAATCAATAATAATTAAAAAGGTTATTAAATAAATATATAAGGAAGAATATTTAGAGGCCTAATTGGACCGATACAGATAAATAGCTTAAAATGAATAGTTTAAAACTTAGAATTCCTTTTTGCATATATTTTAGAAAAAGAACCTTATAGGATTACAAGTTGGTGTGATATCAGTAAATGAATTTGCTATATATTTAGATGTTTGTGTAAATTTGGTGTGGCTCATTTGCTGTGTTTTATTATAGTGCTTAAATTTTTGAGTAATTATCAGGTGGAGATTTGGTATTGAAGACAATTTATACCATCTGTATTGGTCTATTTAGTGCTGCAGCTTAATTCACAACCATTCCGATGTTGCCACGTCTAGGCCAAAAATATATTTTGAGTATAATAGTCTTATATCAAAATAGTCATAGGATCAGTTTTGATGGGGGCCATAAACATCACCATAGCAGTTTTATCGAATTATCAAAGTGATACAATACTATTCCTGATTTTTGTCTTTTTGGTGCTCTTAATTATGGTATTTGCTGCTACATTGAGTCCAGTGTGTTGGGTAAGCAAATTTTTTTATAGCTTAGGGAATTGTACCCTAATTAAACGATAGTGATGGAACCTTCTTTACTATGGATTTGAGATGGATATTCTAAGCCATTTTAATATTCTCCTTTCCCTACATCGTTTAAGGTGTTAATATTTCAGGAGCATTTTATATTTTCGGAGGCATAGATCTCTTTTATACTATTTATTGTGGATTTTTTATTCTTGATAGCAGAGGGAAAACAGGAGCTTAAATTTTAGAAATGTATTTTGAAAAGTACTCTAAGTTTTTGGTATTGCCATAAACAGAAACCAATCCATGAAACTATTATATCACATAATTATTATAATAATTATTTTATATATATACACAAATATTATATAATAAATAAGCATTTTAAATTAAGAGAAAACTGTAATTAATATTATATATAAATAAATAAAAGAGAAAATATCAGATCTCGAAGCTTGATTCAAATACAACATTTAAGTTACTCATAATAACTAAGATAAATCATTAAGGAATTGTAATGACTAAATTATCCGAGAATGATATTTAATTGGTTGAATCTATATTTAGTTTTAAGGCTTCATGAAACTCATTTTAAGGAATTATTCTTATGTAAAGAATATATAATATTAATAAGAATATATTTTCATATATCAATCATCAATGGCTAGATTAATCAAAAATTGTCTTCGCATGTATATTAAGTTGGCTCGACAATTTGATTTCCATTTTACCAAAATGAGATTTTATCCAAATGATTCTTTTTCTATAGGATAGCTTATCCATCAAACTATCCGTCTCGAAAGTAACCAATGTATTTTCTTCCATCAGAGAATTTATTCTTTCCAAACCCATTTTTTTTATTTCTTTTGTATTACCCTATATATTCCTCATGATTAGTTTTCCATATGAAATGACCAATACCATCCATCTATCCTTACCTCCATTCCCCCAAATAAGTATTTCCATTTGCAAATGTCATTTATCCATAACCATTAAAACTGTCATCAGAAAATTCTCCAAAATAAGTCGAGCCATCCTTCCAAATGTATTTCCCAACACCACTTTTCTTACCATTTCCATCAAGTAAACCAGTAAAGTTTGCACCATTTGGAAAATTCTGAAAACTATCCAATTTCAAATCATAAGAAGGTTATAAGAAAGGAAATACGTCTTCAACCAATCTTCCCTGAAAAAATACGCCTTACTAACTTTAAAATATTATTCATTACTTTTATTGTGCCATCTTGATAAATTAACGTACCTTTGCCATGAAACAAATCCATCATAAACTCTCCTTAATAGTAGGTCAAGTTATTCTTATTGAACTATTTACCAAAGCCACATTTCATATTGAAGATCACATCTCCATAAAAATACACATCCTCCTTCTCAATCTCCTTAAAGGAGAGGGAAATTTTATCAACCAATTGCAATTTCTCCTTTAATTTAATTATCTCCTATGTAACAGGTGGCTTGACTTAAATGAGATGGTTACATATTCATCTGTTATCAATTTAATGTCATCATTCTTTTTTTATTATTTATCTTATGCTATTGTTTTAGAAGATTCAATATATTAGGTTTAAGTTGGGGACGCTTCTCCTGAGTTTGTTACTGGATACACTTTTCGGCTTGAAGGTAATTTAGGCTTTTAAGACATGTTATTATTTAATAATTATTGATTTTTAAGCAGTACTTACATAACATTTGAATTGGGGCTGTTTTTCCACTAAAAGTAGGATCAGAATCCCTAGCTCAACTACGAAAGCCAATGTTTTTGCTGAACCATACTGATTGTAATATTCTTTATCATTTTTTAATTTCATTATAATTTAAATTTACGTTTGAATCTATGTTTTCATGATACTAATTATAAATAATCCAGATTTTACTTAATAAAATAAATAAAAATTTGATATCACAATTAAATGGTGAATAATTTATCTAATAATTTCAATTGTAATATCTTGGAAGAACATTAACTTGAATGAAATAAATTAAAAATGGTTTTCTATCTTTTCTCATTTTAAGTAATAAATGAACCATTCAGAGATGATAAATAATTTGAACTTTAATTACGGAACATTTAAAGATATAGATAGGGAGAGTGGTTGTTCATTTGATTATTTTTGAAACAATTTATTTATCTTTAATATGATAAAAAAATATTTTTATATACACATTTCTTTAATATAATATTTTTTAAAGAGAATAATTGATGTAGCAACTGATAATTTAAACTCTTTTGAAATATAATGAAATATTTGATGCAATACAGTAAGTATTCCAATTACATAATTACAATTGCAATGATTAGAAGAACCTATTGAGCAAATATTTGGAATCGAATTAAAAAAATTAAACATGTATATATGTAACACTAAATGAAAATTCTGATTTCTTTGGAATAAATGAAAGGTTCATCAAATTATAAAAATCCATTAATTCGAACATAGAAAGTCTTTTTGATTTCAATACAAGTAAAACATAAATATTGATTAATTAGCTTAATTTCAAAAATATGTTTCAACTGAGATCTCTAAAATTGATATCGATTTCAGCAATAAGATTGTACATGTCCAGGATGATATCAATTAATTTAAAACCAATGTTGATGCCACTTATTAGACTATTTTGAATGCAAAATAATAATCAAAATTTTAAGCTTTAACCAATGAAAAAATTAACGAGGAGATGGATTATATTAAACATAAATATGCTTTAAAATAGAATTTGGATGATAATTTTGTAATATTTCACATATATAAATAGACTGAAATCAGAGATTGCATTTCTAATGTATCTTAAAGCATAAGCTATTTAAGAAATGATGTATAACTGTTGTTTAAAAATACAAAAGAAATGAAAAGCCAAACTTTGCAGGATACTGCATAATTTAATGAACGATTGCAAAGTCTTGTGAGAGAAGTTTAACAAATTGATGAATGCTATCTTTAATTAGCATCTTTGTCAAAAAGAATAGAAATTTGTAAAGCAGGTACATATTAGTTAGTAAATCGAAGATGTCCATTAAACATAAGAAAAATTCAAAACCTTAGCAAATATGTACTAAGAACTTGAAATCAACAATTCAAAGGCAGTTAAATTTGAAGTGCACTCAGCTGTAAAAAAATTTGATGAAGACTCCTTAAGAATAGGCCTGATTTAGGAAAGATAAAGTGGTTAATTAGAATAAGCGTTTATTAACTTGTAAAATATTATTGAATAGAATGTTGGAATAAAATCCAATTAGCAATCTATTTAAGAACAGTTTAATTTAGAAATTAAATCTCTTCAGAAATAGATATCTCGGTAATAAAAGTATATTGAATAATTAAAAGAAAAGTAAATATTTTGAAATCATTAATTCTAGTATCTCCAAAACCAACTAAAATTCAGCTGATCTGCCATTACAAATGAAAGGGCTGAGTTCTTAATTACAATATTAATGGAAATATCTTAATTAGTGCTTCAACCTAACAAAAGATTCTTTAGACATAATATAAGATTTTTGTGAAACGCTCTAAGTTCCATCTATTAATTAAGAAAAGGATCTCACAAATTTAATATTGCTATTGGACAGGAGACAAAATGAATTAAAAAGGAATCTACATTAAACCCCAACACAATCATCAAATTTTCAATCTAGAACATTGATGAGACTTCAAACCCCCAAAAATTCACAGCCTTATGATACTCCTGCTAGAATACACTCTCTATAATAAAGAAAATGTATTTATAGTAAAAATGGAAGTTAAACAATAAGTGTCGACTCAAAAAGAGAAACATTAAATTAAAATTGAATGTAGAAATGATAAAATTATATAGTTTTAGTCTTTATCAATTCATTAATTTATTATATATGATTTTTGATTCATCACACTGAAAAGATCAGAAGTAGACAATAAGCAATCGTTATTTTTCTATATTCCAATAAATATTCTAATCTTTTAATATAAAATACAATACTTTTTCTATTCTCCTCAGGTCCTATATTATTATGTTGGATTAATCTTTCATTGATGGAGGAGCATAACTCAAATATTAAATGAAGATCTGCATTTTGATGTAATATTATTCTATAGGTAACACAAAAGTATTGATATTGGATTGTGTTGTGGGATTTAAAAAATGAATATCCTTGAATTATAAGAATTTTTATAAACCAATGTATTTATGATATATTTGATTTAAAAATTAACCAATTTTATTTATGTTGTTTAAATTTAGTTAGCTTGTAAAGCAAACAGAGATTTATGATACTTAGCTATTATCTAAAATGTAAGTCATTTCTAAGTATATTAGATGCCCATTATAGTTAAAACACAAATATTTAATATTAGAATAGAAAATAAAGGAGGCAAAAGAATTGGAGCTTGAAATCTATAAGATGAAAGATGAAGACGAAGGTTGGAAAAAATTAAAGATCAGTTTAGAATTCACTCCCTAGAACACTCTGAATAGTAAATTCATAATCAGTATGAAATTAGAATGAAATTTTAGTAAGGCATGCTTTGGCATGGCATAATTATTTTAAAAGAGTAACAGAATTTAAGGATTCAAATATCTATCATTATGATTTGATTGATCCTCCTTTGCAATATTTAGGCACTAAATAATGTGATAAATTAAAGTTAGAAATTAATAAATTGGACTTTGATAAAGTCTATGTGTCACCATTGTTAAGGCATATTATTTGAAAGTAATTATAGAGCAATACAAACAACTCAACTATTGTTTTGCAACCATCCATAGAAAGAGAAGATTTAATTTATCCTATGTCCAGACATTTGCGAGAAAATAAGCACCATAAATTCACTATATAAATGGGGCTCCCTTACAGAACTTTTAAAAGATGTATCCTTAATATAAATTATTATTAGAATGGAAATCCAATTAAATTTGATTTTAGTGAGATGCCAGAAAATCTTGAGTTTTGGCAATTTAACTTATTACAAAAAAGTTACAATTTAAGAGATTGCTAACCAAATAAGGAAGATTTCGAAAGATTTATAGTTGATGAGTTTGTCAGAAAAGGATCAAGCTTTTAATTAGAATACAGCAGGAATGTAATGAGTAGAGTGCAAGGATTTGTAAACAAAATAAAGGAAGATCAAACTTAAAGTAAAATTGGAATCGTGACACATTTTCAAATCATAAAATCAATATTATAATGTAGCAGATAAAGAATCGATTTTAAATTCGGCAATGGAGCTGTGTTTGGACTTAATTTGTGATTTTTGTGATTAATTGATATTATTTATAAATATTGAAATAATGGATCTGTTTAGGAAACCTGTGAAAACCTAAGCTGAAATCGAAGTATTTATTATGTTTGAATAGATTCTATATAAAGAGTAATTCCACAAGTTAGAACCATTTATTAAAGTGCTTACCCTATAAAGTCATTCTGAATATTTAGAAGTAACTTCACTATTTTATATACTATAGCTTATTAGAAGAATAAAAGTGTATGAATTGATGGCATTTAATTTAGTGCCATAAAATGAATAGGACAATTTATATTTGTTTTATTAAGGAAGGATGAGATAAGATTTATCAGATTTAGAGGATTTGGATGAATTCGCATCAAAGTCCAAATTTATCAAGAAAAAAAAATAATAGTACTAAGAAGACTTACCTGAAGGTTATTTAATTGACAGACAAAATATGAATAAAATTGTAAGAAATATTTTAAATTAGTTCGCAGTTGAAAATTGCACTTTGCTTGTGCTGACACCTACAGACATTACATCATTGCTTCTTAAACATGAGTAATTAATCAGACAGAAAAGACACTTCTTTTTAAATGCCTTCAAACCTACTAATGTGGATGATAAATAATTGTTATGTCAAATTGCTGATTCACTTTAAGTATTTCATAAATACATTAGCTTTTCTATTATGAAGAACTCGCTTGTATAATGTAGTTATATGAAAAATTGGATAACTTGTTTATCATTTTTACCGGAAGAGTGCAAATCTATACTAAAAGAAACATTATTATGGAGTGCAACCCCATGGATTTTATCAACGAAGAATGTGCCATGGCTAATTATTCAGCATAAGTTCTATCCAAAGATGCACAATTATTTAAAATAGATAAAGTTTTACTATAATTGTTTCCAGAACCAGCAAAATTACTAATTGAGAATTCAAAAAAGCAAAAAAGTATGCTAAGAAGAAAATTAGTAGAAAATCATATTGTTGATTTATAAATACCAGAAAATCAAGCTTATAAATTTCAAAGACAGCATAAATTTAGAAGCATGATCTCGTTAGAGAAGTTATTTAAACAAGCTTAACCTCCTTAATAAAAATCTGAACAAACTACAATGACTGGATTCAACAGAAAGGATACATAACATAGAAAAAAACTATCAACAGGAAGTATTGAAGTATCCGACAAAGTAGTTGTGCAAGTTCTTTTCAACAAAAATTAATTTACCTCCAATCGAACACTTCAATCTTAAACTTCCGATAAATTCAGCCGATCATCCTCAAATATCTCAAAATTACTCAATTTTAATTTCTAATCTGTATAACTAACCAAATCCTCGAAAAAAGTATAAAGCTTATGTCTATTACCAGAAATGTCTCAAAAATAAAATAAACAATCCTCATTATTATGAATAATTATAAAAAGTTTGTAATCAAATCTAATTCTTTATTATTATTATTATAACTCAATTAAGAATCTATATATAATTTATAGTAATGTTATTATAAAGAAGTTTTAAATTATATTATAATATATATTATTGGATATTAATTATTTCTGATATCACTTGATATTTGTATTATCTTTAAGAACATCCTTTCTTAGAACAATTGATCATTCAATATTGTTTTGCAACAAACAAACAGAGCCATTCAATTTCTACTTCAACTTTTCTTGAAAAAATCTACTCTTTTTCTTTATTTAAATAATACTCTCATTTCACTTGAGCTTATTATAAAGCTTATTAAACTAAATAGCTCTGAAGTGCTAATGAAATTTCAGACTCAATGTTAATATTAGATTATGGTCTTCCAAACATCAAATTAATTTTGTAGGGTGTATATACTAAACAATTTGAATAATAATTTGTAATTATAGGTAATCAATTCATTTCTTAGAATTTTTCTTATTCTATTCTAGTAATTTATTTGAGTATTCTTCTGGAAAAGCAGCTTCATCTAATTTTTACCAAAATTTTTTTTTCATGAATTCTGTTTTGTGTACAAACTTATTGAATGACTGATTTTAAACTAAATATTGTGTAAGATGGGGGTTTTCTTTAGCATTTAAGAAAATGTTCAATTTATTTAAAAAATTCCTCATCAAAATTATTATTAATAATATAATCTCAATAAATTATGAAGAATTTTATTCTTAATTATTGATATATCTACAAGCTCTAGTTTTCTATAGTAATCGAATAGTCTTTTCTGATTTCATTGAATAATGAAAGCCTAAATCTAAATTATATTTTATTCGTTTCCTTTACTAAATTTATCAACAATAGTATAGAGAAAGAAATATTATTATTATATTTGAAATCAAGAACTTAAATGTTTATTGATATTAGATTAAAATTATTAGAAATAATATGCTTCAGTAAGTTATTGAATAGCTATGGCTAAGTTTAAGCATATATATTAATTTGGATAATTCTAGAAATTTTTATATTATAAATTTGGCAAGTGTTATGAAAACAATTATAAGATTAGTGAATTAAAATACTATTTAAGATTTGGTGTCACTTTTATTTGCATTACTCAAAATGATTTATTGAAGAGATATTCAATTTGCAAATTAGAATTATTTTAATTTATTTCTAAATATAAATGCAATTGAATATTTAGTCCAATTATCAGGAATTCATAAATAAATAATGGTTGATTATTAATAATGACAATTATAATTCATTCATTCTTTGGAACTTCCTCTTACAAGGCCTTATTGCTATCATAAGCTTTTTCAAACTCTGTTTTAAATCTTTCGACTTCTTCTGGTGAAGTAAATCGAACACACAATTGCCAAACTTTTGGTTATTCATCAGAAGCATCATAGCATGTCCATATCCATGACTTGTCAGCTGTCTTCAATTAGGATAATTTGCAAAAGCCCTCTTATGCTGTGATGAAATGATTAGCAATTAATTTTCCAGTCTTGTCTTATCTCATAAGTAATCTGATTTTATTTGTTTATTTATTTTTAAGGAATTTCATGTCTCCAACACCTCTTTCCTAAAAGTAAATCATATATATTACCTTCCATTAAGCATCTGCAAATCTATAAATTTTAGCTCGGAATTTAGCTACTTCTTCATCATTTTCTTCTCCGGTTTAAACAGGTAGTTAAGGAAGAGTTGCCTATCCTTCTCCTACAAACACTTCTTATTCTGGATTGTAGTCATCTCCTACTTATTCATCATCATCACCGTGAGGGTCCATTGATTAAATTAAAAAATTATTTAAATATTTAAATTTATATTGGTGGGTGAAGTCCTTTAATTATGATTTCTATACAATGGAATCTTTTGGAATTTAAGAATCCGTATTAATCAAATTTCTTTATTTCATAATTATTCATGAATCACATTGTCTTTGTAAATTTGACTATTTTTATTTTAATGTGCTGCATTAATAGCAAGAACAGAAAAGAATTTATAATCAATATAATAAATAGATAACCAAAATTTCATCAAGTACAACAATTTTGTCTAGGCCTTTATTATAAGACATCTTGTGAGACTTTTCTGGCTTATACGTTCTGAGCAAGCTAATCAATCAACTCATTTATTCCCTCTCCTGTTTTTGTTGATATTTCACAATACAACAGGTTTTTAGCTTTACAAAATTATTGAACCTTCTCTTATGCAATACATCTGAGTTCTACTCCATCGTGAATCAGGTCTAATTTATTTCCTACTATTATAATCACAATTCTATCGTCAGCATTATTGTAAATATCTTCATTTATTATTTATGACTACCTTTCAACCAGTATTGTAAATTTTCATAAGAATATAAATCAGTCAGATCATAAAACAATAATGCCCCTTATGATTAATGAAAATGGCTAAATAGTGTAATTAATACTTTGAAGTTAAAGACTTATATTTCTCAGAACCAGCTAAATCAAAAATATCATACCTGTGTCCCAAATTTTTAGATTTATTATTGACTCCTTAAACACAATCTACTTTGTTGCATACTCAACTCCAATTGTAGATTAGGGCTATCTTGGAGCAACATTCTTAGTTATTCGAATAAAAAAGCTTGTCTTCCCGACCTTGCTATCTCCTACTAAAATAACTTCGTTTGATATCTAAGTTACCTTTATACGATTAAATTTAATTCATAATATTATAAAATATGAAAATTATAATTCAATAAAATAAATATTGTTTTGAAATAAAGCAATAATAATGTTGTTATTCATTTTATTTAATTTCTATATCATCATTTAACAATGGAATTTTACATCTATAATTAATTTCAGTATAAAATTTTTTAGTTATATATTTAAAAAATAGTTTATATATCCTTAAAGTGTGTTAAAATTTGCTAAACTTAATTATTTAACGTTATTGATTTCAGTTTCCTTTCCTATAAGCTAATTTAAAAATTAGTGCTTTCAATTTTCAGATTACATTTTGATTAATCATTTTGACCATTTATTATCGCCAGCTATTTCTGTTCTTCATATTGTTCCTAGGTAATCTAATATACTAAAAAATAAATTTATAATTTATTTACTAATGTTATTAATAAATTAAACCAAATGTATTTTTTGATTTAAATAAAATCACATTCACATGACAAAAAAAATGCTATTCAATAAGTCATTTTATGTCTTTTAGATTAATTTTACATCAGATATTCTATTTTAATTTTATTTGAATTGATATCAGCAGAGAGAACTACTAGCAATCGTGTTAAATAAATTATCTTCATAATAGTGTAGAAGTGTAGAACATTTACGCCAGTTCGCTTAATATTTAAGATAAATATAGATTAATTTAGGATAAAATATGAATTTTCAAATTTTATTTTTATGTTGACAGATTTACGCTTAGTTTATATTTGATTGAAATAATTAATATAAGATCTAATCCATTATTCATAATAATATTTTTAAACGGAGTTTTTCAAAGAAGAAAATAACTAAAATAGTTTCTTTAATTGTTTAAATTGTTACGAGAATGAAAATTTTAATCATCATAATATTATAAATCTGCTTTCTGCAAAAGTGAGATGCTTTAAATCAAACTTATAAAATTGAATAACATTCTTTATAATAATATTTTTAATTTTGTATTTAAAGATTTATTTCCTACTTCTTTATTAAACTATTTCTGTATAAACTCTATTTATAGGTGCTATTTAATGATAACGGACCCAGTCAGTTTGCTTAATTATTTATAAACATGATTCTATTTCCATTTTAATAGCTTTCTACCCAATGAAGAATTTTTATTGGTAAATTGTAAATAATTTGAGGTTGAAAATATTTATACATCAATTTTATAAAAATAATTTTAAAGTTGTCATGCATAAATGCATATTAGTAATGATTCTGTATTAGTGAGTTATAAATACCTTTAAAAACTTGCTGATATTAGAATTTTANTAAGTTACCTTTATACGATTAAATTTAATTCATAATATTATAAAATATGAAAATTATAATTCAATAAAATAAATATTGTTTTGAAATAAAGCAATAATAATGTTGTTATTCATTTTATTTAATTTCTATATCATCATTTAACAATGGAATTTTACATCTATAATTAATTTCAGTATAAAATTTTTTAGTTATATATTTAAAAAATAGTTTATATATCCTTAAAGTGTGTTAAAATTTGCTAAACTTAATTATTTAACGTTATTGATTTCAGTTTCCTTTCCTATAAGCTAATTTAAAAATTAGTGCTTTCAATTTTCAGATTACATTTTGATTAATCATTTTGACCATTTATTATCGCCAGCTATTTCTGTTCTTCATATTGTTCCTAGGTAATCTAATATACTAAAAAATAAATTTATAATTTATTTACTAATGTTATTAATAAATTAAACCAAATGTATTTTTTGATTTAAATAAAATCACATTCACATGACAAAAAAAATGCTATTCAATAAGTCATTTTATGTCTTTTAGATTAATTTTACATCAGATATTCTATTTTAATTTTATTTGAATTGATATCAGCAGAGAGAACTACTAGCAATCGTGTTAAATAAATTATCTTCATAATAGTGTAGAAGTGTAGAACATTTACGCCAGTTCGCTTAATATTTAAGATAAATATAGATTAATTTAGGATAAAATATGAATTTTCAAATTTTATTTTTATGTTGACAGATTTACGCTTAGTTTATATTTGATTGAAATAATTAATATAAGATCTAATCCATTATTCATAATAATATTTTTAAACGGAGTTTTTCAAAGAAGAAAATAACTAAAATAGTTTCTTTAATTGTTTAAATTGTTACGAGAATGAAAATTTTAATCATCATAATATTATAAATCTGCTTTCTGCAAAAGTGAGATGCTTTAAATCAAACTTATAAAATTGAATAACATTCTTTATAATAATATTTTTAATTTTGTATTTAAAGATTTATTTCCTACTTCTTTATTAAACTATTTCTGTATAAACTCTATTTATAGGTGCTATTTAATGATAACGGACCCAGTCAGTTTGCTTAATTATTTATAAACATGATTCTATTTCCATTTTAATAGCTTTCTACCCAATGAAGAATTTTTATTGGTAAATTGTAAATAATTTGAGGTTGAAAATATTTATACATCAATTTTATAAAAATAATTTTAAAGTTGTCATGCATAAATGCATATTAGTAATGATTCTGTATTAGTGAGTTATAAATACCTTTAAAAACTTGCTGATATTAGAATTTTATACATCTTTTAAAAACAATTTGGGATGGTTAAATATGAATACTATAATACATTAAACCCAATCTGTTTGTAAATATCAAAATTTTTCAATTAATTATCCCTGGAAAGATTTTTTATTCAAGTACTATAGTTTATTTTAAATTTCAAATATAATAAAAGTATTTATTCCAATTTTTGGTTTCAAAAGTAATGGGTTAACATAAATTTGGATTATATTTTTTCAATTATAAATGTTTAATCCATTAAGCTTAATAAGAACTAATAAAAAAAAGAACGATAAATATATAGTGAATGCATAATTACTAATTCATAACAGTTTAAGCTTAATGATGATGTCTGAAAATCATACGTGTTTAGAGGAGGTGGATGTGGAAATGCAAAGATTCTAAAAGTTGAGATATGAAAACTAAAAAATTTACTCCCAATCAATTTCACCGCAAAGAATACACAACAACAATCTCAGAAAAATCTTTCACTTTTTAAGATAAACTCCATCAGAATGAAATACTCTCTGCATTTTAGTGGTTTTACAACAATAAGGAATATTTTTAGATAATATGTAATGGTGATCTAATAAATTTAAATTATTATCATCTCGTTGAGAAAAGTGTCGAGATATTGTTAAAATCTCTGATAATATACATTAAATTATCAGGAATTTTTTTCCATTAACTGCTTGAAATTTGTAACGATCTCTTTAGAGTAATTTTTTCATATTAATTAACAAATGAAGAGAGATATATATAAGAAAATTTCAAAAAAAATTTATTTGAAATTATTACAGAAATTGAATCCCAAATTACAGCTTTTAAAATATGTTTAACTCATTGTAGAACTAATTCAGAATAAGATAAAGAATTAATAATTTCAGTACTATGTGGTGCTGCAAGTTCAATCTCTGAATTACAACCTATCAGCGAATTAATCGATTCCCTAATGGACACTGAAAAATATTTACTTCTCAGTTTCTTTGATAAATAAATTAAGCATCTATTACAAAAATATGAATTATACTATTTTTTTAAGAATCTAGAATGGTTAATTATCAATTAATTGGAACTAGGATGTTCTGTTCAAAAGACTATTAACCCATTACTGCAAGGTTATAATTAATATACACAGATCATCTTAAGATTGGATGATACATTCTTGTTGAATTAAATTTATAACTGATTTAATGTCGTATAGACCAATAATCAAGAAAGAAGAACTAAAACCAAAACAGTCAACAATATACGCAATTTTGAATCAATTAATAACTACTAATTAAATAATTTAACTCCCTTATTACAAATCCTCTGGCAAAATTTAAATTTATTTGAAGTAATTTAAATAGTATTTATTAAATATATATAAGAAAATTTGAATTATTTCCTGCTTTTAATTTGAATTTACAATTAAAAAAATAGCTAACAGATTGCGAGGAATTTTAAATTAAATTACTAATTAGCGAGTCTCTCTAGGATCGACCTCAATTCTAAACGGTTTCTTAAAACATCTTCAGAATAAACCAAGAAGAGAAAGCATTGCTATCAACCATTTTATAATAAAATAAATAATGTTTGAAAGAAAATTCATTAAAATCACCATCAATTATATTGGAGAAAATTACTCAATTAGAAAAATTATCCTCAGAAGGGTATTAATTTAATGTTGATAAATTCCCTTAATTTTTTATTAATTAATCCATAAATTGTCTGAATATAAAGTAGAAGCATAATATGAAGGCAATGACATTGAAATATAAAACAAAAACTGTTAAAAAACTGACTTTGATTAAAAATAATTTAATGAAACAGTTCTAAACCTTGATATAGTTTTTGAAAAAATACACAAAGGAATAGCAATCTATAAAGAAATATTTTTCTAAAATTTGTGTTTCAAAAGTTGTCAAGAACTTATTTAACCAAAGTACATCTTTAAAAGGGCAATTTTAGACCATTATTAAAATTTAAAGTTTGAATATGATTTAGAAAATTGCAGAATAACTTTTTGAACTCTATATTAAATTTATTGATCAACAAAAAGATGATCAACTAGATCTTGGACTTAATCGAATGTGATGTCATTGAATTAAAATGATTTTAAAGGTGTTTTAGGTTTTTTTTAAACTTTAATAAAATAAGATTGCTTCATTTATTTAAAGAGCATAAATTCTTACAAAAGATTCTGGTAAATAGTTAAATCAAACTTAGAATTAAATTAATTTTAAACTATTTTTGGAAAATCTAATTTCTGAGAAAAAGTTCCTTTTATAGAATTTACTAAACAATTAGAGAGAAAATGGATAAATTTTCAGCTAATTTGTAAGAAATTATACTATCAATGAATGAAGTTATTTTAGCAATACAATAAGATTGTTATCCTGATGACTAAAAACAAATATAAATTATTGTGTTTTAAGAATTGTAAACAAACTATAGATATTAGAATTAAAACGGAATAATTAGAATAATTTTTTATCGATATACTTCAACTTTTTGATAGGTAAATAGAGTCATTGGATTAAGAATAATAATTACAACAATCCCAAATTAAAATAATGAGTAAAATAAATGAATTATTGTTATAAGACAATAAAAGTATATTTGATTTTATGAGTTCTCAAAATTTGTTTCAGAATGAAGAATAAACCTAACAAATTTATGAACTAATATAAGGTTTAATCAAAATTTAAATGGTTATTAAATAAAAGAAGTTGAATTTTTTAATAAACAGTTTAATATAAGTAAGCAATAACTGAGATAATCGGACACACATTTAATAAAAATTTTTTAGAAATATTATCGGATATGAACATAGTATTAACAAATTTTTTAAAGAAAATTTTTGAATCAAAATAAACTGTTTTTAATGATACATTTTTAGGTTAATTGCCAGATGACCAAAACCTTGCATCAATAAATACATTACAAGTAGTTTCTTAAAACGCCGAGCTATTCTAATAATAGGATCTTGCATAAAATTAAGAAATTATTACTGATAAGGCTTATTCATACTTTTTAGAAGAATTGGATAAAGATAATTGAAGGAAATAAACTCTTAGATATTTTTTCAGACTCCTCCTACAAAGCAGCAGTATTTAATTTAATTAAAATGCAATCTATAGTATAAGAGTCTGCCATTTAAGGATTTTGAATAAATATCGAGGATCGAAGGACATGCAAGTGTAAGAAATATATTAAAAAATAAAGAGATAATAGAAATGCAAAAAGAGTTATATTCTAAAGATCTAGCAAATTTTTCAAATAAATTAAAATTAGATATGCAGAACAAACCTAAGAAATTAGAATAATTAGAATCCTAAGTTTTAATTGGAGATAATAAAACACTTTTAAAAAATTAATTGTAATAGGCATATGAAGATTATGAATCATATATTGATAATATAACAGAAATGTCATAGAAATGGATATAGCCTCATTTACTTGAGAGAAATCAGCAAAGATCAAAATGTTTAATTGATTAAGTGATACAAAATATGAAAGGTATTGAAGATGATTTAAGGAGATTATGTGGTAAAAGCTATACAGAATTATTATAGATAAGAAAAGATAAAGTTTTATAATAGAAATAGGAAGCTGAAAATTGGATTAAGTTCACATTTAATTTTTACTTAATAGTATAATCCTTTAACAGGGAAAAAGAGGAAAATCACTTTGGTGATTTCAAATCACATCTAATCTCAAAATAATACAATAATTATGAGGGAGAAGTTAATGAGTTCGTGTGGAGTGAAAGAGAAAAATCTAAAGATGTAATCTTATTGAAAGGCAAAGCAAGCTCGGGTAAGAGTAGGGCATCTCGAAACATAGAGGAATTTTTATGGATAAATGAATCAACTTCCCCATCATGGCTTCCTATTTTTGTCTCACTTCCATCCTTAAAGAATCCAAAGCATAATATAATTGAATAAAAGTCTCAAAATTATAACTTTGGTAAAATTTAAATTCGAGAATTTAAATAAGCTGTTACCTATTGTTATCTAAATATAATTTTTATACTTAAAAATTATGATGAAATGAAGATTGAATGCATTTAGTCTAATTTATACCAAACTAATAGATTGCAACTGATTTAAATTTTCAAATACCTGGAAAAAATGTTAAAATTATTATTACAACAATAGAAGTTTAACATATAGGATATTAAACTTGGTTTAAGGTAAAAATCTTGAATCATTTAAAGTAGTGGAGTAATTGCCATTTAATTATGAATAAAGTTCTGAATATTTAAAATAATATTGTGAAGTCAGAAAGTATTACAAATTTCTTAAATAAATAAAAGGTCAAAATTTCTCCCTAAAGGAGTTTAAATTAATTTGGACAATTTTAGAAGATTGCATTAATACAATCACGAATTCAAAATATGATCAATACATGTTATTCTAGCCATCAGATGTTGAAAAAATAATTTAGAAGTTCCAAACTAAGAAACGGGAGCTCATAAAAATTTCTTCAGTCATTAACAATGTGAATATTAATCATTTAATGGGCACTCCTTTTATGATGGAAATAATTGTTTATGTGTTATCAAAATGTCACCCACATTTTCAGAAACAAATTTTTTGAGAGATACTCTCAAATAAAAATACCCATAACTAACATATGAAGCTCAAAAGCAGAATTAATTAATAGGACAATATCAAAATTAACCAAAAGTTATATAGTTTTCAGATTTATAATCAGATTAGGCTTAATTAAGTTAGAAGTCTGTTGAAACAAAAAACCTATTGAATCAAAGGTTATTAGAAAAATTTCTTTAATTAATGGAAGGATTAGAAAGATGAAATTATTTAAAAAAATCTTTACTGTTTCAAGTGATGCAAATTTTATAATAACAGTAATTTTTCACTTTATTTGGCTCAAGACATGACTACTTATTAACTTGCCTAAGTTAATTACCAATAAAAAGGTCTGTTGTAACTTACACAAGCATTATAAAAAGGGACCAATTAATATTTTTGGGAAGATTAATACTTTGATGAGAATTCAACTAATTCAGAATATTATGGGTTTCTAAAGAAATGATACTGCAGAGAGCAAAAGGTAGCATATAAACCTTTAGCCATAAATCAATTCATGAGTTTTTTGTTGCTAAATATATTTTGAGTTTATTTAAAAAAGTGTTTTAAGATAATTATTTCGAGTTATTAACTAACAGCAGATTGAATTCGGATCAATTTAATATTTCACCTGAGCATTTTTAAGGTGCAATAGTATTATTAAAGCCAAAATTGAAGTAAATTTTGGATGTGAAGCAGAAATTAATATTAATTGTTTAACAATCTAAAAAATAATGTCGGTAAACACGCTCGGCCTCTAACACTATCTTTTTATTAAGCTCTCTAAGAGAAAATTTAAATGACACATTTGTTTGTCTGATAACAAATTTATGGTTTAAATTTCTGTTAAAGTAACTTAGATTAATCTAAATTTAATAATACTTCAATTGATTCTTGCAATTTTAACTGTGCTAAAATTACAAATTCTGTATTGATAAATTTGATTTGTAAAGAGAAACCAACATTAATTGGACATAAAGAAACAATATCAAGCCTAAAATTCACAAAAGATAGAAGAAATTTAATTTCTGAAGTAGTGACGGAACGATTAAAATTTGGTAGGTTACTGGAGAAATAGAAATAAAAACCTTTTCATTTTCAAATAATTAAAAAGTGATTTCAGCATCATTTTCAGAACAATCAATTCTTTTGGCATGTTTGACAGACTCGTCCATTCAAATTTTGAACTGCTCAGATTTGATTTTGGAAAACTATTTATCTCTTATTAAGTATGATTTTAAAAAGAATAATGTTGTCTTAGGACGGAAAATATATTGCAGCACTCACATAATCCCTTAAGATTGATATTTGGAGAATTGAATTCTGGAAAAATTAAATCTAGCCTTAGAATAATATAACATTGAAATTTAAAATTGAATGCACTGCAATCTCTTCAAGTTCTAAACTATGAGCTGGGAGGGGGGGAAAATGAAGTAATGCTATTTTATATGGACAATTTTTTGGATCGATCATAGTGTATAGTGCTTCAAAAATTAAGCTCAATCATTAAATTTTTCGCCGGATGAATAAATATTGGCTGTGGCAAACAAGGGCAAGAAGATAAATTTTTGGAATGTAAGGAATCAAGAAAAAGTTGAAATACTGTTCTCTCTCGATATCTTGAATTATAAAATAAATTGCTTTGTTCTGCTGATGATAAATATCTTTTCTCAAGAGATGAAGACACTATTAAGCTTTCTTTTTTCATTAACCAAAATAAAAAATTAGTTATTTAAAAAATCCATGATAATCTATAGCTGAATAAAATAAAGTCTATTTCTCTAAATAAGTAAGAAACATTAGCAATAGTTATTTAAAAAAATGATCAGGAAGTCAAACTACTGTTATACGATATTCAGCGAATAAAGCACTTCAAAGTTTTGAAGATAGCAAGAATAATGGTCCTATATGTATAATAACATCATTCACCCCTGACGGATGAAACTACTCGAATGTTATAATTAAATTGTGGGATACAAAGACATGTAAAATTTTATCGATGTTTTAAAGCAATACTCCTTCAATAGCCTTTATTTCGATCTCTAATAATGGTACCCTAGCCCAAGCAAGCTCGACAGAAATAAAGTTATGAAATATCACAGCACTTCAATAATAATGGTTTGAAATGGATGGCCATTCTGAAATAAATTTAATGTTTTTATAAATCTCTAGATGGGTTAATAACTAGTTACCTGCTCAAATTCAGAAATTATTAGATGGGATTTATAAGAGTATAAGCTTATTGATATACTGTTAAGAGAAAAATATCTTTCGTCTAAAATTAGCTTTTCAGCCGAGTCTTGTGTATTTTGCTGCCTTGGATTATTAGAATCAAATTAATGTTTGGAAACTAAATACAAAATATATATAATTGAGAGACAATTTAAACGCCTATTTTCTCCACGCATCAATTTTCACTTTGGTTTGTAACTGAATTAGATAATTTCTGAACATAAATGACTCAAAAAATAACAATTAGAAAAATTATCATTTCTCCAGATTAATCATTTTATATATACTTATTTTAAATTAAAAATTGAAATAATAAATAATCTTTTGCTTTACAAAATTTCCATTATAATTTATCAATACTAAGTAACAATTTTTAAAGATGAACAGAGCTATGATTTTACAATCTTATTAATGACTTTTTCAAGGAATTCAAAATTATTGCTATCCTTCCAGACGAGTTTTATCGTCTTTGAAATTTAAATGAATAAGAAGCTTTAATGGAAAAACCCTTATTAATTGAAGGCCTTTAATTTTTTAGCTAGAGTGTAATTTAGGTTCAATCCGACAAAACTGATGATTTTCTTATATTATGGTCATAAAAACAAATTCAAGGGTGTAGTGAATATGTAAATTTTATGCTTTTCTTCTTTAGAATTATATCCTCTTACAGAATCAGGTCCATATTCAAGATATGAAGATAAAAAGATGTTTTTTAATTAATTTTACAATTGCTTATGCAGAAAATAATTAGTTATTAGCAGTTTAATGGATGTCTTATTTAAAGATTTTTTTAACCTTACCTTCTGTGAGGAGATAATTGTTCTAGAGGGCAATTCATAAAATAACTCAAGTATTTCATCAATACTCTAGTTTATGATGGATGAGAAAATATTATTAGGATTGGGAAGACCATTTCTTAAGATGCGGGAACCTTTAAGGTAGCATTAAGATAAATTTAAAATAGAAGATATCCCCTAAAGCATTTCTATATAATAATACATTATAAATTATAAATGTTGGTGGATAAGATAATTAAATATATGATTTCTAAATCGAGAATTTTTAGGAGGTTTGTAAGGGATAAGTTATGTCAAGCTATGTATAAGTTATTTATGAATTATCAGATAATTTTGAATATTAGATAAAAAATGGAGGTCGAGGTCTAATTGATAAAAAAATAAAAGATATAAGAAATACTTTGAATAAGTGTTCTTCTGAAATTAATTGTTTAACATTTTCTATCGATGAAAAATACTGTTTATTGGGGGGTAATTAGTGGTCTATGACATTGAAAAAATGACTACAGTGAAATATGGAAAACCGATTTGCATTAAGATTTTTGGGAAAAGTCCATTATGTAAGCAGATTGTTATAACATCAAATGGTCAAAGTTTCTTACATAAGATAATGAAAATTTTGAAAAGCATTTATGTGAAAAAGGTGCAATAAGTTGAAACTGTGATTTTATATTACGATAAATTAGACCTTGTTGTACATATTTTCATATTTTATTACCATAGAAATGAGACTAAATCTTTAGGGCTAACTCTTTTACAAAGCAAATTGTAATTTAGATAATTTCAATAATTTTAAAATATGACCCTTTATAGAATAAACATTAAATTAAATTAAATTTAAATTTAAGAAAACAATCCAAAATTAAAATAATAATAATCATCCTATTTAAATTTATCCATTATTACTAAGATTCAATTTAATAAAGATATTAAATATGTCTTATTGATATTTTTTCTAGTCCATATTTCAATTTCAATACTAGCAAAGTGCTTATGTTTATAATTAAAGGAATATTACAAAATTGGTTTTTTTGATTGTTTTTGTTTAATTAATATCCAACTTTCAGAAGCATCTCAAGATGTCCTTATATTCTTGAAAGTTGGTAAGAATTAAATCTAGTATTCTTTCATGCAATACTATTCATAATACCTTATATCTTTAATCTTTAAATAAATTAAATTAAATCGATTCTCTGGCTATCATCTCTTAAACATACTGTCTTTCAAAATAAAAAATATCCCACTACTTAAGTTAAAATACAAAAGCTGCTAATTTGACGTAAAAATACTACAAATCAGTTCCTTAATAAATAACGAATGTAATGTTGATGGCAGCATGGCAAATCCATGATTAAAAAAGAAAACATAAACAATTAATAGGCTGTTCTGAATAATAGTTAAGGAATTTAATTAAATTTTTTGTTCAGTGCACCCTACTCTATTCTATTCGGAGGCCTTATATTATTGGTATCCAATTTTCGAATATAACGAACTTCACTTTTATAGATGTCAAATCAATAATTCAATCAATTTTTCGAACAAACAATTTTAATGTTTGTTCATCTTAGCATTCTTCACTATAGTGGCAAATTTAATATTTTAATCTAAATTATAATATACTGTTANAATAATTGACACCAATTTTTCTAAATCAGTATTTGACAATTCTAGAGGATTATCATTGTTTTTAATCAAATTCATAGAATTTTTCTTCCTTCTCTAGGAAATCATATATCTGTTTTATTGATTCTTCAATTCCATCCCAAATTACTTTAAACTTATTTTGAGTTGATGTAAGCAATGTTTTAAAATTCAACCTCTATTTTGCTAATTCAGATGAATCATTAAACTTAGAGTCTTCGAATTTCTTTCTCATCATATCTTAAAATTTTATTATTGAAACCATGCATTTTAAATCCACTCCATGTTCCTCAATACATTCAGCACACAATTTCCTTTAGCTCTAACACTTGTGATA